GCTTTTTTTTTTATCCTTTTTGCGTTGCCCGGCGATATCTGTCGTTGCATGCATGATATTATCTTCCGCCGGCACATTGTCGGCTAGAAAAAGAAATATTTGACTTTTTTGCACCGCGACCGACTGACCTCTTCCATCCATGTTTTATCTCAGGGATTTTGCATAGTTTCTGGCAAACCGTGACTTGATAAAAGGAGTCCTTTGAATAGCGAATCGCGGTTTCTCTGAATGACAGCAACTGTGAATAGACGATGGAAATGGTCTTCTTGCGCTGATACTAATCTTGTTATTACCTAATTTCTGGAAGAATATAGTTAATTAACCAATTCAGGGACGAATTCATGAGGAGAAGAAAGCAATGTTTTATCATTTTTCAGCTGTACAGCAAATCTTTTTTACGACCACACGATCAATGGAATTATTTTGGTGGGAATAAACACAGATAGCACATGACGCCTTGAAGACGGCTTAAAGGCGCCTTAGACCTAAAATAGCCGTAAAATAGACGTCTTTAAGGCGCCTTAGACCTAAAATAGGCGTCTTTAACGCGTCATTGGGCTATGACCTTTTGATAATAATAGGTGCCAACTCTCATTGGTTTTTTTTAAATAATCGATATTAAAGTTTTATTAAGTTTCATCTCAAAATTACTTCGATACCGCGTAACCAGTGACTTCAATGAAAAATGATTCAGATAAAAGTTATATGGTTTCGAGGGGGGCATAATTTGACGTGATCAGTTTCTTTATAAGAGGATCAGTAGAGGATACACGAAGGTCATGTTTATTTTCTTAATCGAAATCGTATATTTTTTATTACACTAGTCGATCCAGTTTGTAAGTCTGTGTAAAAAAGTATTAACTTGTTCATATGAAAAAAACATTAGTTTAGGAGATATTTTAACTCCAAGTGTACGAAGTGACACATATGGAACCACTGTCCACCAAGGTGAACCTTGTTTATTTTTATTTTTCTATGCACTAATTCACCATAAGTGAGCCATCAATAACATCAAGTAGTGCATTAACAAATATACGATTCCATTTAAAAAAAAACAATGCTAACCTTCATATGACCTCTACGCGTCCACCTAGAAAAAAGTTACACCAGAATGAGCCCCTGATACTATTTAACCTTTGTCTGAAACGTTTTTTAATATCGTCATCAATTTCGGATATATTTGAGTGGGTCGATTTAACGGGACACCCTGTATAGGTTGCTAGACGAATTCTGACCCTTTGACAATTGAATGTTTGATACTTCCTAAATGACATTTAGTAGGGTCAGTTTCTCAGGACTTTATGCGAAGGCTTCTAGTTTTTATTAATGTTTTTACCAAGGTATTAAGCTTTCGAAGTGAATTTGTATATTAAAAATTTTTTATTGAAAGCATCTTTTCTTGTACAGTATTCATATTTATTTTTCTACTCAATGGAATTACACGAAAATAACAAGTTCGCTTCTTCAAGATCAACGATGACGAACTCAGCATTTTTCAATTCGTTCGATGTTTCCTCGGTGTACACAAAATTTCGAGTACACGTAACGGGAATTGAATGTGAGCGATTCTTTTCGAGAAAACGGATCGAAAACATAGAACGGAATTTTTTCATAGGAGGCAGCGTTCCGTAAATAATCGACTTGAAAAATTCCGCGGGGCTACACACGGCCGCCATTTTGTCCGGCCACGCGCGCGTTTGGCGCGCTTTTTGAATTCGAACAAACCGAAAACCTTAACCTCTCAAAGAAAAAAAGGCCTGTAATGTTAATTTTTCATTTATTTATCCGCGGAAACTTGGTCGATCACGATTACGATCGGATAATTACCATTTTACATTTAACAGGAGTCAGTTCTAGAGCTGTGAATAGTGGTTTTTACGGTCCTTTCTTGCGTCCACGGTCTTCTTGTGCAACCGACAAGGAATAAATTAGCGCGTGTGCGCACACGGGCTAATAAAGTAATCACAAAATTACGTTCAAACCGTGCACAGTTGTCTAATAAATATTGAAAATTCAAAGATTTAATTTTATCGGGGCTTCGTCGCGAGCACGTGGCCTTTTTGCAATAGTTTATCAGGAATATTCAAATATTATCTCAAGGACCTCGAGTATAGTACTTTGCATACTTAACCCCGACGGCGACCCAACTCGATATTTTCACCTCGTCGAAAACGAAACGGCGAGCCGAGCGTTTCGAAGCTTCCATGATCGAACGATAAAGTCACGAACTGCAATATATTTTAGGTTAGAAATTAATTTAGGTTATTTTCGTTTATTTTTTTTAGGTTAACAATTGATGTAACATCATTGTATATTTAAATTTTTCGTTTGTCCTCTAGACTTCATTATATTTGTATATTGTACCAAAGAGTTCATAACCCGTTTATAAATAAATATTGTCATTATTATTAACATTTGAAATTCATTAAATATTGGGGTGTGATCGGTGAATTCGGGCTAGAACATACCTATTTGTAACTGCAGGCATAAATATGCGGATATTTATGTGAGTGGGGAATCTTTAGAATTAATTTTCAAAACCTGGAATTCAATGAACTTTTTACACTAACCAACAAATTTAAATCTGGGTATTAAAAATTGACTTTTCCAAGGAGATCTGACTGAAAACAATTACTTTTTGTACATGTTATAATTATGCATTGCGTATTAATATTTTTGAGATTTCATGCAGGAGACTTGCAGGTACAGTAGAGCCTCTCATATCCGAACTAATAGGAAGACATACGTGTTCGGATAACAGAACGTTCGAATATTAGGGTATTCGACCTGTTCGAATGACATTTAAGAGAATATATTAGACTAAGTCATACATAACCTCAATTTTCATTTTTTAAATTTAAGTTATATTATATTTAGATTATTCACAATTACTATCTATGACGCGTTCCCCATTCCCATTGAACCTACCAATTGGCATTCAGTTTAAATATTCTTATTATCATCGTCGTTCAATTATTATTTAGTAATTTTTTCGTATCCATAACGAATGTTATTTACGACTCGATCTTCCTTTACATATTTAACGTTTACTTCCTCGGGACAATTCGTGCCAGGGCTCGTAAAAATGAGCATGAAAACAAGCTAATGTTATTTTTTTCACAATTAAATAACTATTCGAGGCAATGATAGAGGATCACCGAGAATTCAAAGTTATTCGAAGTGGTCGAGTTTGATTGTAAATATATCGACGGAGTAGAACAAAAAAATCGGCCAGATTCCGAAGTGGAGAGCCAAACGTTGTTGTTTCAAGTGCTATAATACCATCTCGACGATCACTCGAAAACTGGACCGGCCGTGCAAACATTTGTTCGCAATATTTATGCGTTATTTTGTTAGTGATATAACGGTTGAGAACTTGCGTATACAACTATCGTGAGAAAATAGAACAAATAATACAATTGGCGTTTAAACCACACACCGTGTAGAACGTAAATATTAGGTTACGTCATAAACAAATCTGATTTTCCTCTTTTTAGGTTTATATAAAAAATGTTATGAATTATTCAGAAGAGTCACTACTTGCAATAATTATTCACTTGAGAATAATTAACTTTTAGAATATTAAGCGATTAAGGTTGAATTTTCTACTAATACTCCAATTCCAAGATGGCGGCACAAATGGCAGTAGAAACGTTTAAAATACCCAAAGTGATATCAAACTGCCCTTTTTCACCTATGTTTTCAAGTTGGCGAACAGTAAACAGACAATTTATTTATTTGTATGATCACTGTTATTATTATTTAATTATCTTTATATTACATTTGTTTGTGGTTGTAACAAAGACGTTACTATTATTAAATTGATGAGAATATTAAAAACTTATGTGTTTCCTTCTAAAATTTTACAAAAGTCATCATTTTGAAACTAAATCACTGATATTTAAACACAATGATTATGAAATATGAATTAAAATAATAAATTAAAAATATATAAATATTAAATAAATAGCAAACAATTTGGAATATTAAAGAATCGAGTCTTTGTTTTGAAAATTTTCCAAAATAAACAATTAATGACACGAATGATTTAAATTATTTGGACAAAATCTGAATCAGTTTTTCGACGGTCCGACATACCATTCGGACGGACAAGCGACCAATGTTAATCTTGGTCGTACTGAAACTGCGTGTACACGGGACTTCTTGTCTAAAAATAAACTAATAGATTAGTTTTATCAGGTCCGCGGGGAGATTTTTGATGTAACTATACGATAACCCAAATTTGACGAGAATGTACCTCAAAAACGACGACAGATAATGGGTCTGTCGATTCGTACCCAATAACGGAAATAACATGGTATTATCCCGGCGTACGAGCAGACATCCGAAATCACATGTTACGAGCGCGGCGACTCCCTTATCGGGCCGAGACGAATAAATAATGACACTTGAACGATAAAGAACGCATGTCAGTCTATTTTCTAACACTTACAGTGTACAAGTATACATTGCGCTCTGTACATGCATGTATTTAGTATATTTTATACACTTTATAGAAGATCTCAGTATTCGCAATAGAATACTTTTAATTCTTCAGGTGAAAACACGCCTTAAAGGCTAATGACTGTCTTCCTATTTCCCTGTATATCTTGAAAACTATAGTACATATAACGAAATCATTGGAATAAAAATTTAACCACTTTCTATACTCTATAAAACTGTCTAATAAAATTGTTAACAATTTATAGTTTAAATAAATAAATCAATAAATAAACAAAATTTTAACAATTTCATTGCACAGTCCTACAAAGTATATAAATCCATTAAGCTTTCGTTTTAACCATTTTTTTTATCTCTGCTATAATTTTCAAGATATCTAGCTTTTCCATTCATTTACTTTTAGGGCTGTTTCCATGAACACATACATGCCTAATATTTTCAGCTTCTCCATTCGTCGGCAAATTTTGGTGAAAATCTGTATGTTAGTCGATTATTCGATGGAGATTTGTCTAATCGAGTGAAATTGCTTTTCGTTACAGACGCCGATCTGAGCATGGGCGCAGGTGCAGCGGGCGGCTCGGTCCTCGGGCTTCCGGGATCGGGCGTGGGCGGTGTGCTGTCGCAGCACTGCGCGATCTGCGGCGACCGAGCCACCGGAAAACACTACGGGGCCGCTTCCTGCGACGGTTGCAAAGGATTCTTCCGGCGATCGGTCAGAAAAAATCACCTTTACACCTGCAGGTTCGTGTACGACCGCCATTTTTCTTTCAAACCCTTAACAATCCTTAACCTTCGAACTGCCAATCAATAACAGGCTGATCTGGGTCACTTTTGACCCATATTCAAAGTTTAGATACTAAATATTATCAAAAGTGACCCAACCGGGCTGAACAAGGATTAATATTATTCAGAACTACAGGACCCGTTAAAATGACGGATTGCAGATTTTTTATTTCACGATCACTGGAAATTTTAATAATGCTTTCGGTGGAATTTATGTCGACTTTCAATTTATTATACATTTTATATTATACTATATAAATTTTTTGTTTATAACTTTGGAAATATTAACTTTTTGACCCATGTTTATTAGGGGTTTTTGTCATCATTTGGCCAGTACTAGTTACCCTAAAAGTTGTGAACCATTTTTTTAATCACCTTATATATTTTATTATACAAGGTGTTAAAAAAAAGGTGTAAGACTGAAGGTGCTTATAGTATCTACTCTTAACTTCCCCCTAAACGTCTTAATTTTTTTTTTAATGATAATATATTTAATTATAAAGTAATAATTGTACATAATTGTTTTTTGCAGATTTAGTAGGAACTGTATAGTAGACAAGGACAAGAGAAACCAGTGCAGGTATTGCAGGCTCCGAAAATGTTTCAAGGCCGGTATGAAGAAAGAAGGTGAGCACAGGAATTTTCTTTTCTTAAAAAACAAAATAGATCGTTGGGAATTTAAAGCATAAATAAAGTGATTCAATCGTGCTGTAGATATTTTATTTTCATCTGAAATACAAATGAATAGTAATACATTTATCCTGAAATTAACAATATTAATATTAAAATTTGAATTTTGCTTTCAACCATCATTTTTTGATCTGAAATCGATACTCGCTAAAACTGTTGGAGGTGAAAAGGCTTTTGAATAATTAATTAGTATCGAAGGATATTACATAGATACATTCAATGATTACCGATTTGTTTAACGATATTTCATCTTTCTGGCAATTTCTTCATGTCTTCTGGCTGCTGCAGCTGTTAAATTTTCATTCCAATAATTCTGTTATATCTACTATAGTTTTCGAAATACACAGAGATGTCCGTGTTCATGGAAACAGTCCTGAAACTGGAAGATGGAAAAGTCATTTTGTTTGATATCTTGAAAACTATAGCAGACATGATGAAACTGTTAAAATAAAAGTTCCTAGATTTTTATACTCTATAAAATTGTGTAATAACATTGTGAAAAATTTGTTTATTTATCGACTTATTTGTTTAAACAATAAACTTTTAACAATTTCATTGGACAGTTTTGTAGAGTGTAGAAAGCTATAAAATTTTAATTTCAATAATTTTGTTATATCTGCTATTGTTTTCCTCCATTTTATCGTCAGAGCACAAGCAGAAAGGCGACGAAAGATTTCAAAAAACTTAATATTAAGGACGACCATAATTACAATTATCGTAGTGGGATTTTTGTCTAACGATGTTTTCTATCTGATTTCGTTTCGAATGAAGCCGTGCAGAACGAGAGAGACCGGATAAGCTGCAGAAGGCCTAGTTACGAGGAGCAGAGCAGCAACGGAAGCGGGCTTTCCGTGGTTTCTCTACTTCAGGCCGAGATGCTCAGCAGACAGGTCGGCGCTGCCCTCGAGGTCAGTGACTGTGATAACGATCAAGAAATCTTAAACTTTTCGAAACACGATAGAAATCGCTTAATTTCACCCAAACAAAAATTAATTGACAATCCTCGTGAGCCATAAATTAGAAACATTTCATTCGTCAAGGTCAACGTTGGACACCAACAGTTTTCACTCGCCCTGTACAGTCCCGTTTATGAATATTCATCGAATACGAAGTAAACGTAATGAGGCGTTATGAAATTATTAATGGTCTGGGTTCAGTGAAGATTTTAGTGAAGATAAAGTTAGACGACACACTTTTACCTAGTGACCAGTTTACTGGTCATAGTTTCGCGAAACCAAGATGGCCGACTTGACCCTCTATCACTTACAGGGGGTCGTCTTCTTCGCTTATTCGCTTGTAGCTCGAAAACTACAGAGAATATCGAACAAAAATTTAGATAAATTTTATATCATTTTTAGTTGTCCATACATCGGTACGAAGAAATATAAAAACAAGATTATTTTTTAAAAAACGTTTCTATTGAAAATTTGTCCGTATACTTTTCCACTCTCTGTGTTGTTCACATATCAGTAGGAAGAAATTTAAAAAAAATTATTTTGTTGAAAATAATTATTCGAAACTTTTTTCCTACATCGTTTCAACGATAATTTTCAAACATCTTTCATTTACTTTTCCACTCTCTGTGTTGTCCATATATCGGTAGAAAAAAATTAAAAAAAAAATCTTTTATTGACAATTTTTCTTAAATCGTTTCAAAGTTTGTTTTCAAATATTTTGTACTATAGTGTTCCACCCTTTGGTAAACTGATAGTACAATCAAACAGTGACAACTGGTGGTAATCGGTCGATTGAGCGAAGTCACGTATCCGTGACACCGATCGTCCACGTAATGACGAATTTCTAAAAATCACGAATATGCTGTGAAATAGGAAATCAACGTTTGACAGGTGTCCTAACGGTTCGTTGGACGGAAAATACGTGCGTGTGATCGACGCACGACATGCAAATCCTCCCTCCGTGGTCTTGTGTCGGTTCGCTAGCACGTTTAATGAAACGAATTTAATGACTGGCTTCTTTGTTTACCGGGACTTAACCAGACGAATTTAATGGACGGTCTTAATAATTATGAGAAGGCTGAGAGACTTAATGAGGCCCCGTGTGAATATCGGGGCTCACCAATGTATGGTAATGTCGTGACGGACGGGACATCCGGCTGTTTTCACGACGGTTCGGTTTTTAAAGTATAAATATAATCGAACGATGCCGTTGTATTGATCGAAATACACAAACTGTACTGTATTTTTCTTATTTTCGATACTATCAGGGCCCGATCTAGAGGGGCCCAGACAGGGCAACTCCCCAGAGCAGGAAATTTGGAGACATTCTAAAATTTATCAATAATTAAATTTTTTGGACCAAACATAAATATTGTTCTCAGAATCCTGTTGAATCTGCTTGTGACAGTTGATAGTGGCGAAAAACGTTTTTACAAATTAAAAATAAGTAAAAATTACCTAAGATCCACCGTGATACAAAATAGATTGCGGTAAATTCTCGATGAGTGTTCGAAAGGTCCTCGGAGAAGTACCTAGATGAAACGCTGATTTTTTAATGAGATTCAGCACAGTGATAGAGTTTAGAATTCTGAAGCCAATTATATTTGTTTCAATCGCATATGGCCATTAGTTTATAAAATATTTAATGTTCAGTGTCTAGGAGCCTTCAAACACTCATCGTGGATTTACTGTATGTTGATTGGCTGTGATTGGTATAGAAGATGAGTTATATAGTAAAATATGTTTTAAGGAAATTATGAAATAGTTTACCGAGAAAAAAGTTGGAAAATTTTTTTAAAATTGAAAATGTTTTTTAAACTTTTTCAATGTCTTTCATGTTTACGTCGTCTTTTTATTGATTTTTTAAAACATTTTGTGAGAGTTGTTTTTTTGAAATTTTTTGTTTTGTTACTGATTTTGATGAATATTAATTTCTTGTATAAAACAAAAGGCTTCTGTTATAAAAAAAACATTTCCCTCACTGTGAAAAATTATATTTTAAAATACTCATTTATAATTAAATATAAAGGGCAGCAAACGTCATTTTTACCCAGAACGGCGGAAAAACTAGATCAGGCCCTGGATACTATTCGAATAAATAATAGCTATCGTAAGTGTAAAGTATAGCAAGTGTACGATAACAGTCGTTTATGGTGAAATATGTCTATAGGGCAGTAAACTCTCACCTAAATCCAGAAATCGCAGTAGTTTGAACTGTCCAAAACGTGGAATACCGTAACTCACCAATGAGTGTTCGAATTATTCACAAACTAATGGCCATATACTGCTGAAACAAACATCATTGGCTTCAGAATTCCAAGCTCTATCGATGTGCTAAGCCTCATTAAAAAGCCAACGTTACGCCTAAGGACCTCTCCGAGGAGCCTCCAAGCACTTATCGATGATTTACTGTATAAAGTGTATTTTCGATCTAGCTTATCGTACAAAATGGCGGCGGTCATCGCAAAGATTTGTGGGAATACCTGTTGGTTAACGACGACGATTTAAACGAAATTATTACCAAAGAATCATGGTTAATCTGGTCAAAATTTTCATTAGGTAATTTATAATAATTCCGTATAATTTTAATGTAATTTCATCTTAGGTATTTGTTACTTTAGTTTCCTTAAAATCAAAGGGAATTACCATTTTACCAGTGTTAGTCTTTCAATTTCTGGAGTAAACGTACAGTTTATTCACCATAAAACAACTCCAATGATGATGTGGTCGTAAAAAAGATCGTGAGGTCAATGCCACAGCAGCTCGATAGTCAATCTTGGATGCTAATGTTTAGGACACTTCCAGTTTCGATGGAGACCCTTCTGGAAACATTTCGAATGGTTCTTTCTTCTTCCCGCTTAATTAATTCGAACCTTATTACCAGTAGAGGAAATCTATGCTAATACTCCAGACGGAAGATTACCGATGCACATAGATACGACGTATTGGAGCCATGGCCCCTAAATATTCATGAACTACCTGAAAATGCAGAAACCTAACGATTCCGTCTAAGACTCGAACATCTAGAACACATCGATAACAAATGTGTTATATTGGGTCAATCGTATATATATAGTGATCAAATTTAGAGGTTATTTTAAAGTCAGTTCGATTTTTTAAAAATAGGAACCCCTATTTTTAGCTCCAGAAATGGAAGAAACGATCATTTCGATTCAAGGATGTGACAACTATTAGTTGTGGATCTCCCAGATTAACTACCCAAAAAACCATCTGTCAGAATGGATTTGTCTCCCTATTAGTTATGGATCTCCTAAACCCACTACCCAAAAATTATCTATTAGAATGGATTTGTCTCCCTGATAGTTGTGGATGTCCCAGATTAACTACCCAAAAAACTATCTATTAGAATGAATTTGTCTCCCTATTAGTTGTGGATCTCCCAGACCAACTACCCAAAAAACTATCAGAATGGAACTGTGTCCCTAATTAGTTCAGCCAATTGAGGATCTACTGTACCCTATATTAGGTTCGAATAGCCCTACAGTCATCTGTACCCCTAAACATATTATAGATTCTAGATTTCCAGTGATTCATAAAGGGTAACTAGAGCGTTCTTTCAACAGCTAGGTAGTCCGAGTAACGACATCGACCTAAGCACGAAGCAAATCGCCAACATAAACGACGTCTGCGACAGTATGAAGCAGCAGCTGTTGATCCTGGTCGAATGGGCGAAGTATATACCGGCATTTAGCGAGCTGACCCTAGACGACCAGGTTGCTCTATTGAGGGCACACGCGGGCGAGCATCTTCTCTTGGGCGTTGCCAGGCGCAGCATGCAACTGAAGGATGTTCTCCTGTTGGGCAACAACTGCATCATCACGAAAAACTGTCCTGGTACGTGTCCTTCCTTTGGATTGCTTGTTACGGGTCGGGGTTTCGATGTATGTTGATCACGGGCAAATGGTACACTTATCGAGGTGTAAATTACAAAACAGGCCAATTAATTAGGAACTTTCTGATATTTCGCACTTTCTATTATTATTTTTTTGTACGTAATTGTTCGAGTAGAGTGAAAGGGCCGTATACAGAGTGTCCCACCTGAATATAAACACGTTTAATATCTCACCTGTTTTTGGAGATAGAAACAAATGTGAGAGGAAAATATTATTTGGCTAGGAGGGGCAAGTACTGTAGTAAGTAAACAATTTTTTCTGATGGTCATATTTTTCGATTCTTCAAGGTCATCGATGGTTTTTTAAACGGGACTACGTATGTTTATTACCGTGGGGTAATAGCTGAGGTCTAGACCGATACAATGACCTATAATAGGATGACCTTCATGTGACCTTGATTTTTCATACTCAAGGTCATATATGAAGGTCATACTTTTATAGGTCATTGGATTGGTCTTGACCTCAACTACTACAATACGATGATAGAAATACATAGTCCGATTTAAAAAAACATCGATTACCTTGAAATTTCGAAAAGTTTGACCTTCAGAAAAATGTTTTATTTACCACAGTATTTGTCTCTTCCAATCAAATAATTTTTTCCTCTCACATCTGTTTTTATTGTAAAAAAACAAGTGAAATATTTATTTTTTGCTCACGTTAAGTGGGACACTCTGGACTGTTCACTCTACAGAAACGTAAAAAAAATAGCATAAGTTTGAGTACCTTTGACTCAGTTAGGGGTAACTTTGTCCCAAAATCAGAAAATTATCATTTTCGATTTTGCAGGTATTTTTACGTGAAATACCCTCTTAATTTGACAATATACAAAACTGCAAAATCGAGAATGATCATTTTCTGACTTGGAAGAAAGTTACCCTGACTCAGTCAAAGTTAGCCCAACTTGAAATCAACGTTTTATAAATAGATGTGACGGTCGTAAGACGTATTTTGTTTTCAAATTTATATCGATAAGTGTATTCAATGGTATTTTGTTAAGGACTTTAGTGAATGATGTGGATACTAAACCTGCATCAGGGATGAGACTAACTTTACTGCTTGGACGTAGAGATCGTGCTGCATTGGAATGAATTAGTTGCTCAAGATCACTGGTGGATTATGTTATTTTGTAAATAAAATCATCTTGTAAATGGTATCGATTACTTTTGTGTAAAAATGAAAGAAGGAAACCATATATTTCAGAGAACTTGGAGGATTAACTATTAAAGTCTTCGAAAGATTGCATAGATCTTATATTCAATAAAAATATTATTGTATAAATTACAGTGTATTCTTTTGTTCTTAATTTTTTAAAGTTTTAAAAGATATTCAATAGAATATATTATATTCTTAAGTTACATGTATATTTTTGATCATCTTTTTACAACACTATCATTTTAATTTTAAATTTTCCTGCGTAAAACGCGCGTTATTTACGAGAATGCCCAACACAACCCATCAACATAATGTGCCGCCATATTTGTAACATAATCAGAGTGCATTTAAAAAAAAAGTAACTCTAATTGACAATTCACTAATTTGAAAATAGTTTACATTATTTTTTACTGTTCATTAGTAGTTAATATTTTATTTTAATACAGTTTGAATTAAGGAAGATTGTCTCTCAGGGATCTTAAGTGACAAATTGATTTTTATCCTACTTAGGAATTATTTAATTAAATATAAGAATAATTCTTTATTATAGAAAGGTGGATATGTCGAACTTTTTTTCGAAAACAAAATTAATTATTTCTGTGAAAAGATATTTTAATAATGACTATATCTCACTTAATTATTTAATAATATTAGGAACACATATACTAATAAATAATATCCCAGATAGCACACAGACGGCTTAAGACAGAAAATAGCCATAAAATGGATGTCTTTAAGGTGTCATGTACTATCTGGGATTAATGTTAATACTTTAACAATACTAATGATATTACTTGAATATATTTATTATGAATACTTTGTTTTGAAATTGCAATTGGTTGTTCATTGAATTTTTTAGAATTTCATTACTGACCTGTGTTATCAGCCACGATTATCGCAACAAAATATTTGTCTCAGAAATTTTCGATAGGAACGGCTGAAAATACCCGTAACACGTAATAAAAATTACCAATTGGTATTATTTCATCTTTTGATAACATCGATAGATAAGATGTCCAATGATTACAGATCTTCAAAAAAATGAAATCTAGATAAAGCACGTAATTACGAACAATCTTCAAGTTCTCAAAGATATTCAAGTACCTTGAAAAACAGAAAAAGCTTTTGTAATTTCAAACTTGTCTAAAAACTGCCCACTTACCTGAACAGGTATCGCGTAATTATTAGGAAGAACATGGGTGAGTAATTAACATCATGCATGATACAGATATCTTCTAAAATTTGACTAACATCTTTTTTAACATGACACCACAGAAATTCAATCATATTATTCTGATCGAATTTTCGTGGAAAACAATTGGACCAAGTTGTGCAGAAACTTACCAACCCTCAAAACAACAAAAAATTAATTAAACACGGTACAGATCTCATAATTTTGTGATCTTTATTTTTCAAAAAATTACCAACCCATAGATCAACTTTTACATTATACAATTATTAAAAATACCAAGCCATAAATAATTAAAAACAAAATTAAAATTAACTATGGAAAATTTAAAATAATATTAATTACGCTACTCGTTATTAAATAAGCCACTAAAAAACATTGCAAAACAACAACAACAAAAAATACCCGATCAAAATAGAACTACTTTTTTTTAATTAAAATCTTCAAACTAAACTTACTTAATTTCAGGTCACCGAGGGTTGGTAGCTTTCTGCATAATTTCGCCCAATTATATGTGTGTGTATGTGTGTAATAATTGCACCTGAGTAAAATTGAATGACGCAAAGCGAGACAGTCGATTAAAAGATCGTTAATTTAAATTACTTTTCAATGTTAAGTAAATATTTCATTAATTTAAATCACTCTCCAATACTGATCTATAAAATTCGGTATAAATTAACTAATTTTCAGTATTGTCTAAAAATTTCATTAACATGGGCATAACCAGGGGACAGGGAAGGACACTTGCTTCCCCCTTCAAAGGGAAAAAAGTGGCCATTGTCTTCTAGAGGAAAATAAATTGGATTCTACCCCCCCCCTCCCAGAAGAGAAAAATATTACATTAACTAAATTATAAATATTACATTATTACTCTAAAATCCATTTAGAGTAATATTATGAAATTTACCTTGAGATAAATTTTGCCCCCCACCCCCGACTGATAACCTGGCTACGCCCATGGTCATTAACATATTTCATTCACAATCGAATTTTTTAAATTAAAAAAAATTATTTTTCAAGTCGACAGTCCCGACCAGCGAGTTGCACGAACATGTCACTTGGGGTAGTAGCTAGTAGACTGAGTCCGGCCTTCACGTTTGCGGTTGCAGTAGCATGCGTGCAGTTCTCTGGGTAGTCTCTGTATTCCAAAAAAAAAAAAAAAAATGGTTGTCGGGCATTCCGCCAGCTTACTCTTGTACACACACACGTATCTCATCCGGACTCAGTCGAGTGGTAGCCGAGCACAGATAGGGACGGCTTAACCGTCGTTATCAGTCATATCTTTGTCCGCAGAGGGTCGCAATCAGGATCTGGATATCAGCAAGGTCGGTGTCCGAGTGATGGACGAGCTGGTGAAACCGCTGAACGAGGTGCAGATCGATGACACCGAATTCGCTTGTCTGAAGGCCATCGTCTTTTTTGATCCCAGTAAGTCCCAGCCGTCATATTATTCAGTCATGATGATACAGTGAAAAACAATTCAAACTCACTTCCGATCCTCCCAAGTGATGTCGAACATAACCTTCTTTGCAAGCATGGTTGCCAAGGAGTAGGGCCTTTGAGGCCCATATGACGTATAGGGTCTAGTGGAGGGGGAACACAATATTTATTAAGGTACGTTGTCACGTGACGGTAAAAGTCATGGGTTTTTTTGTGGTGACACTGTATAACAATGTAAACCAATGTCACGATAACGCAACATCTAATTTTCACAACGACAAAACTCATGACTTTTACTGTCACGTGTAAACGTACATATCTTCAGTATCACAACCGTAAAAGTCACGATTTATTGTCACATGAAAACATACCTTTAGTACATGTATTAGTATATATGTATAGCTCTAAAAGCGCACTGTGACGTCACATGGCCCTTACTTTGATGCTTTCATCTGTTAACCTTTTTTATAAGACACCATGTAGTTTTGTCATTTGACAGAGGCCAAGGATACTTGTGCCTGCAATTTAAATAAAATTAGAAATGATTCAAGTTATTGAACAATAAATCAGATTAGGTATAAACTGTCAAAATTTTTGTGAATTGCAATTTTTAAACGGCCTAACTAGCTTGACAAGCAATCAAATTGAACGTAATGAACGTATTAATTTCCTTGGTGTCTTCTCACCACTTATTGCCAAAGGCCAAGAGTCCTTCGTGACCCCCGGGGGTTTATCAGCGAAGGGACAATTAAACGATCGGATCTGTAATTAAATCAAGCCCCCATTAGCGAATGTATCCGTATTCGGGTGATCTTCTAGTGGTCCTTTCTCGCGATCTGCAGCCGAAGCGGGACCGAAGAATTTGCGTGTCATTCGTCGAAGATTTGCCGGGCACGCGAGAACGATTGTCTCAATGAGATTTAATTGATCATCGGCGTTGTCACCGCCGCCGCCATTCCGCGATAAATTACAGAAGATCGTAGACTCCCTGTCGGGAGCCTAACAGCGTGATCCTCTTTAAGCTGAAGATCATGTGGGGGCTGCTGGCAACCTACCACAGTTACTTTTCAGCCTGGTTTAAAAGACTTAGAACCTCTAAAGGGAACATTAACCATGAGTAGAATCACCCTCATTTAGATTCCAATTTCCTAGTTCAGACATACTCAAGTGGCTGCTAAATACATTTCTTTGGCTTTCGTTCTCTTAAAGTAGCCTAGTTTTACTACGGGTATCATAGACATTGGTTACAGTTCCCCAGTTTGGTTTTCTAAGAAGAAGACTAGTTGTGGTAAAGATGAACCTATTTGTCCCTTTTGCCTTCATATGTTGTACAAATGTATTGTCTACAAGTATAGTCCCTATACACCTCTACATTCATCATTTGATGGGATTGATAGAACTAAAGCATAGCAATGGAATAAGAAGGAGTTATGCAAATACCAGATATAGAATAGAACTTACAGAACTATAATGGAGTAACTGACACAGGTATACACTTGATGGAGCTGATGAGTAAAACTCTTAGATTTATCCCATTTATAACCTTACATTTGGGTATACCTAGTTAACAGGCAGTAAAGAAACATTATTGAAGTATTTCACTCCAAGGTCAATAGGCATTGAATCAGTTTTCAATAGCAGAAACCACTTTTGGCGACTAGTACCTTATAAAGGTATTACAACATGCCACTTGAATGAGTCTGACGAAAGTATTTGTTGTACCCATTATAGTGTTATTGGCTCAATAGAGGTAGTGACAAATTCTACAAGTATGGACAACATTGCTACAGGCTATAGCTTGTCTTCTAATGATAATTCTCTTCCTATATGGATTAGTTCTTGTTTAGGTAAACATAGGAGACAGTTGAAAGTAAGGTGTTTATGCCATTTCTAAATATAGATGTAATATTACCTTTCACTAGTAGCTTAACCATTCAAAGTTGTCTCCTATTCCGATTTCCCAAGTTCAAAACCAGCATTCCTGTGTCTTTATAAGCCTTACACATTGAATCCAGACCTGTCCACATTAAGAATAACAACATAAACCAAAAATTATTTGTATTACTTCTGCCAACAGATGCAAAAGGCCTAAGTGAACCGCAGCGAATCAAGCAATTGCGTTACCAGATCCAGATCAACCTAGAGGACTACATCAGTGATAGACAGTACGACAGCCGTGGTCGATTCGGCGATATCCTCCTGACGCTGCCAGCTCTGCAGTCGATTTCCTGGCAAATGATCGAGCAGATCCAGTTTGTTCGACTCTTCGGGGTCGCGCACATCGACAACCTGCTGCAGGAGATGCTTCTAGGCGGTGCCACGGCTGAAGGGAACGGTGCTCTGACGCCGATCGCGATCTCAAATGCTCCTGGCAGTTACGTGAGCAGCAACGAAAGTCCCAGCAGTCCCCTGACACCTGCCAATGCGCCTCCATTAAGTCCTCAGGATCATATGCTGGCTGGAGGAAGTCCTGTCATGATTCTGAGGGACCTAACACCCATTCAGACCCAAGAGGACGTGACCAGTGTGTCTGGATTCAGGATGTTCAAACAGGAGCCCAGTCTCGAGAGTGAATCAACCTTTTAAGGATTCCTGGCGAACCAAAAAAAGGCAATCGGAAGATCCTGATGGGATGAAAGTGTCCTGTTCTCGACTGTTACTGGTCTGACTTGACTGTGTTGTACCGATTCAGAGTACTTACGACAGAGATTTAGGATTGTTCAAGGAATAGTTGGCATGGGACGAAGAGTCTGCAATGTTGGTGCCTGCATTTGTTAAAAGTGCTTAGTTTTTCTTCGCAGTTTTAAAGTTTTGTAAATGAGGAACTCTGTGATGTCTGGAGAAATATCTGGTCTACTTTAAAAGACTTATGTTTCTACTTTGATGGAAATACCTGTATTGTTGTAAAACTTGTGATCTTAGACAATTGTTGAAGAGACTTTTTTGGACGAAATTGTTTTCTAAGGATGGATACAATCTTACAACAACACTCTACATGTCATCATCGAGGATCTCTTCATAGCCCTGGCCTTTGTAACTTGTTTGTATATTTAATGTTCAAGTGTTCAACTAAATATTGTGATACATAGAATCACATTTGTACATGCACAGGGAACTGTTGGAAAAGATTGGATTGTTGTGGAAAGTGAGAAATGTTTGAAAATACTTGGTACAATATTGAAACAATATAAAATTCACGGACATTAAAAATATTTTACAATGCCTCAAAGATACTAAAAATGTCAGGATAACATTGTACATAATGTTGAAAAACTGACAAGGAGGTTGACATGAAAGTTATGTTTTTTTTTACAAATTAAAAAAAATCTTGCAGATATATCAAGAAGATATAAAATTTTAAGACTTCTTTTGAATATTTTTGGGCGCATAGTTGGATCTAATATGATTTCCAAAGCTCAAATTAAGTTTTCTGAAGATCCCAAATTAAGCATCAATACGTTGAACTCTTTTTTATAATATAGCAAAAGAAAGAATGTGGTGATCTTTAGTGAACTTTTCGTACACTTCATCAACGTCAAGAAAAATCACATTTGATTATACGTTAATCGAACTTTTCTAAATGTTGTGATTTTTTTTTAAAACCATTTCCACACAAGTGACAATTTTGAAATGCAGGTTTTCCCGCACCTTGCACTCATGTTCCACAGGGTTGAGAATACAGATTCAAATTTTTTATAAATTATATTAAAATAATTTTTATACTTTACAACAAAATTTTAAAGAATCAAAAGCAAGCTAATTGGCCGTTCAAGGACAGTCTCCTCAGTGTAAAAAACAGAGAAAACATCGATTATTTTTTTTATAAAAAGCACAGTAGTGAGGATAACTGAATCAATGACCTAGAACAGCCAATTCATCACGGTGCAATTATAAAAACAGAATCGGCAAGCGATCAAAAGTACTGTATAAATTCTGGTTTTTTAATATCAGTCGTGCTCAATGGATTGCTCAATTAATCCTTAATTACTTTAATCATAGGTTCGAATCAAAATCGGTCGATCAAGTGAGAAAACAAAATTTTGCCAGCCTAATTAAAGAAAGTCATTATAATTGTCTATATATTTTTTTGTACAACGTTCATATAAGTAACATTGTTAGAGAAATTAGTGATTAGTACAATTGAAATCGAAGAATAATCTTCGACTTTTATTAAAAACGAATTATGATTGTTCAAGCTTCTTCGATTTCCACGATTTTATGATCATTAATGATTTTTTTTCTCTAAAGATAGGTTAATTCTATAACATTCGTCACGATTGTTTTTTCATTTACTTCAATCATAAACGACCGACCTCTAAACGCAAAAATCATATAATTAACAATAATTGTTACGTACGTAGTTAGTAAGTGTACTGTTATTTATAGAAAAGGGTTAATTAATTATATTATTTATAATATATTCCTACAGAGGATATTTTTGTTATCGCGGTAAGCAACTTGTTACCCTGTTATACCAATTGTACATTGTATTATACAGCATAGTGATCATCGATTCTAATAATAACAATCGACTATTTTTGTAACTGACGAATTCTATTTTTCAAATAATATCGGACAACACTACGAATGTTTTTATCATTTCAACGAATATACATCTGACAAGTATTAAATGGAACAGGTTTTTTAATAGGTCCTATCTCAAATTTTTGATCGATGATTAAAATTTGAACACTTTAGCATCCCCAAGAACAAACAACATGAAGTTTAAAGTCAACAGTATTTTCAACAGCAACGTCAAACCGGAAGTCCTGGAGTATTCAAGTGATGCAGTGACGTCACGCATACAGCAAGTAAACGTTCGAATGTTTATCCATAAACATACATCTCAGACGAAAGAATTACAAGACATTTTCATTATTATATCATTAGAGCATATATATTCATTTATTCGTTTTTTCTTATGTTATGAGTCTAAAATTTAACCTTAAACCTAATCTATCTATTTAACATGAAGTATATTAAGCTCAAGTTTTAACACTTTTAGAACTTCAAAGTTTAGAAGAAAGGTAATACTTAGGAATTTGAAATTTTTTTCATGATATATCTATTTTCCGTTGTTTGGGGAAACATCACAAACTTTTTAGAACACATTTGTAAAATGTTACTTCTGATGCTGTCTCCGAGTGACAGTAAAATGAAATCCCACAAAAAAAAGTACAGAATACAGGAATAGTATATTCTGCAGTATGAGACAGGACTTATTAAGGGAGCACTTTCAGTTACATTTTCTCCTTGTAAGAAAGAAAACCTGATCGATCAAGCATTAATACAATTATGAAAGTGTTTGACAGCATAAGTGTAATATTCGTTTAAATTATAATATAACAGAAAAATTAACAGAACTACTATACAGGACACCCAAAAAGTGTTAACAGATCCTGTACCCTGTCCATAACTTAACATTCCACAACAATAAATTAAAAACAATTAGGAAGTAGTCTTAGCACCTCTCTCACAGAAGAAAGGAGTATACGCCATTGCAATGCAATTTTTATTTTAACAAAGGAATACGCGTGCTTTCTGTTGATGCCCTAAACATTTGGAATGGGACATTTTTAAAAAATATTTACATATTTTATTCATATAACGGATAACTAATAGAAACAATATAAAATAATTTAAAAATATTGTCACAAAAATTTACAGCATATTCTATACTTTAAAGAAAATAAAAAACATTTAATATAAGTATGTATTCCAAAAAAATGATTTGTCCAATTTGTAAATTTTGGGACATTAGTCTAGAATCACTTTGTATATTGAAGTTTAATTAAGACATTCAGTCATTAAATCATTTTTACAAAATATTTTGTTTATTTGAAATAAGGTATTGTCTCATCTTACAATTAGAATTTTAAGGATACATAAGAATCATGTTTTTTTAATTTTTTGTTACTAAAAGATCAATTATGTACATAAAGAAATAAGATACAGAAAAAAAATGAGTAATTTAGCAGGGTTAATCATTATTTAGCATTTGACGAAACAAATTTTAATTGAAAATAATAATTAAAGCGAACGAATCGCTGATTTCAAATGTAAATTGCGACTTCTCGTAGATTTCGTATTTATGGCCGGATAGGAAGCAATAATACATTTAATTTAGTAATATTTTACTAAAAATAGCGATACTATAAACTACAAATACGTGATGCGAGATATAATATATATACATAGTTTTTTATGTAATATGTACGCAGACAGGCGCACAAATTGTAAATTAGTGGAAGTGATAAATATTATCATTAATAAACAAGGAAACTGGTTAAACAAAAGAGCAACTTTTACAGAGTTTCTGCATAATTTTTCTTCTGTATTTATTTTTTACTCTAACATGGTTTTGTCGAGTACAATATGCAAGTTTTGTTTTTTTATTATTTTTTTAAAAAATTAATCCACCAAATACATTAAAATAGTGAATGAAAAGGAACAATGTTTTATTTTACGATACATGTCATCATTAAGAAAAAGTACCCATACTTCTCAACGCTATCAATTTTTTAGCATGTTTCTTTATTATTTTTCTGTTTATCATTATTTATTTCATATAAAATCTTCAGTCATTAACAATACTATCATCAAATTTTGTAATGCGTACCATTCCAACTTATTAATTGCACTAATAAACTTATAGAATTATAGAGATTTTCAGAAACAGATATACATTTATCTTGAACGTTTGCGAATATTTCGGTCCTCCTGTAATTGACAAGTATTGTTAAAAATAATTCACAGAATTTTTAGATTTTTATATTGAAGTCTATAAGAATATTTGTTACAACAAAATCATTTTAACATGGATTGTGATCTAAATGTTACTATTACGATCTATTAACAAACAAGCTCTTCCGCGACTGTTTGGTGAATAAGCCTGAACGAAATTCAAAGTGTAAATAAACTTTTCTCTTATACAATTGTTATTTAAGTGCTGTAAAATAATTTGTACCCTGCAATAAAAGGAGTAAGCGTCTAATTGGTTTTCTTAATCAAGGAAACATTTTTTTTCTATTAAATAACCACTTTATTTTTCCACTGAACATAATGTTTTATAAATAAACTGTTTGATTATATTATTTTATACGTTTATACATATATTCGTGCAGGTGTAAAACATAAAAATGTAATTGTTAGTTAAGATCGTAGTCAGCGCGTTTCCGCTTCTTCAAATTCGCCGTAATTTCGGAAGGAAGAATACTATTAGTACCCACTTTTAACCATTCGATCAGCCGGACTTTAGCTTTTCTTCCATTTACAAATAGATCTCTTTCGAGTCGAGGAAGCTGATTCATTAAAGTTGGATCAGATATTGGATTCTGCGCCCAGTCCATAACTAATCGAAAACGAGATTTAAACGTCTGAAAGCAATGGAAGGTAATGTCACCAGTCTTTAGATTTATTACTATAGCTACAATAAGATTAAGAATTAAATTTTACGTTTAAATGTAAATAATTCAGAGTTATCAGAAGAATTGGAATGAACCGATGAAACCTTTAATATTATTACTGACTTTCATATTTATCGCTTCCATTTATCCATTTACCATTTAAACAAAATTGAACAATTAAAGTCTGTGCATTTACAGACATTACGATTTCTTCTTGGAATTTATAGTTCTTTAACTTGTTTACCTGTAACAAACTTTCTGTTATTTGTTCAGATTCTCTGGCACCAAATTTTTGCACATACATGCCTAACTCGTAAAAGTAAGGGTTCCATTTGCATAAAACAACAGCATCAGCATCAGCTTCCAAAATTTCTCTGGTAAAATATTAAAAAATAAATGACCAACAATAATAGAACCAGCATAGTAGGTAAAAAGAAATAAAACAAAATTTTCAAACTTATTTAAATCTCAGAAACATCTGAAGTTTAATTCTAAAAGAGCTGTGCTAACATTTAAATACTTCAAAGTTTTTACTACTACAACCAACAAAATATATAATTAAAGAAGAAGTTATAATAAATAATTAAAAAATGATAATACCATACAGCAATAAAGATTATAAATATTTTATACAATTATAACATGTATTAAATAACAAACCTATATCCTTCCTTATATATTTTTGGTACATCAAGACTCACTATAGGATTTTGTAAATTTTTAAGTGACTGTGCCAGCCATAATGGGAAGTCTACTTTTGACCCAGCTACCAAATTGTTAGATGCGGAAGACGAATCCAGAAAACCTAAATTTACATAATTCTGTACTATTTACAGAACTATTTTTGTTATACTATTTACATTTTTGTTGAACTATTTTACTATTTTTTGTTTTCTATGAAGCAGATCTAGCAAAATTTATAAGTAAAGTTGGTCTTACTCTACTAAGTAATATTTATACCAGTAATGTAAATAATTATATGAATTGTTATTCTTGAAATACATAATTATGATATAAATAAATTTTAGATAAAAATTTAATCGACTGTCAAGAATAGGTTAAGTATCATAGTCTATAAAATTAAATTATGATTAAAAAATGTAATAGGGTTAATGAAATAACTGTTAATGAAAATAATTTCGAACACAAAATTCAAAAGTTAAGGAATCAACAAATGAGAGTTAACATCGGAAATAAGTTCAATATTTTATATAAAGTAAATGTTACCCAATCCAGGCAATTCAATTTCAATTTTACAAGTTATACGTTCTTCGGTACATAAAATATCATTCAGCGCAAAATAATCGGGTAAATAACTTTGACAACATGCCATTTTAAGAAAATAAACGCGGGAACTACTGTCAAACTATTCAAGTCTCCTCATCCTGCAGTAACATCAACAATACCAACAACATTAGCAGAAAAACATTGCAAATCGCGATTGATTATCTTTCCCAATCATGTCAGATTGTTAATTAGATTTCCCTGAATCGATATAGTGCATTACAAATTGAGATCGTGACATTTTTAAGTTACATTTAATATTTTATACTGAATGATAAAAAAAATGATCAAAGAAACCAATGGCGCCAGCTACGGCAAAATTCCCAAGCTACTAGCCAATTAGTACGACATTTTTTTAAATAGATGACACCACGATATTCAGGAGCTTCTCAGAGATTTGATCAGTCATTAATTACTACTTTATATTAACGTTGAATTCGGAAGTTACAAACTTTTACATTATTGCCAAGTCTCCATTTTCTTTATTTTCTCCATAAAAGAGAGTTTTTATTCATCATTAAATTGATTATTATAAAACAGATCAGGAGCAATTTTTTGGTGCCATAATATTTGTGTAAAAAGGCCATTTACTACCTATTTTGTAAACAACAAATTTTTGCTTTTTTTTGTGGATATCTTATTAACTATAAACGGTGCTGTGAGAGCAATTTCAGATTTGGAAGGAGCAAATTGGGAGCAATTTTTTGAAATATAAATCGTTAAGATACGTTAACATTCGGCGCCAACTATTTTCCGGTATAGATGGCTCTGCTGTTTCTTTAGTAGCTTTCCCTATTCGCCGTTAGATGACATTTTATTGAACGCTTAGGTGTCGTTGGTGTCGTCCAGGAATCTGCCGCTTGGCGAAAGCTTTCTAACCCTGGCAGAAAGTGGATAGGTGCTTTGAAAGCGTAGGTTGTTTTTCCATTAATCGTCGGGGCTTGTTTTTCCCTTTCTTCGCTCTCTTTTTCACTCTTCTATTATCACCGAAGGAGAAAATAATTTCATGACTGAAACTGTGAAAATGTGGCGTGACGAAAAGTGCTATTCGAATTCGACAGACAAACCGTTGACGGTCTAACTACCGCGATTTACCAGTATCTATCCTCGTATTACCTTTTCGTTTATTGTCCCGTAAATCTTCTCTTTTGTGATCTCTATGAAACGCTTGTTAAGCCAGTGAAACGTAACCTGACTTTACCGCGATCACCATTGAACGCGTTCTCGTAGGTTATGTTTCTGTTATTCTGTTATCAATACCTGTCTGTGTGATAATGTTCCAAATATCACGTGTCGCGATTAAATGTAAACGAAATCACTCGTTTGTGAAGTGACTGTATTACCTGCGAAGTGGTTTTTACAATTTTATTGCATTATAGTGGGGGCAACATTTTTGTTTGTACTGGTTTGTTTGGTTTCCGTTTGCAAGAATGCAAGTATTGATGATAATATATAAATTGGTTGTTTTGATCGTTAGGGGAGTCATCAGACATGGCACAAAGGTTTCCTGTACCGAATACAGGGAATAATGGTCCGCCACAGCAGAGATATGCTGCGTCATCTGTGCCTCCAAACCTACGACAGTATTCAGGGCCAAATTTTTCTGTGAGTACGAAATCTATTGTTTCTCAGTCGGATACAGTAAACTTCTAAAGTTTCATTGGGTGACTGCAAATGAAAATTGAGACTTAACAGTTTAGGAGCTTATCCAGACATATAAAAGATGTCTAAGGATGCTCTAAAGATCCATGTGCCTGAAATGAATTGCCTTAATGCTATAATCTATGGAGCGCTTTGTTAATTTGTATGGTTGTAAAGCTTTTATAAGTTATGTTATATATACGTAACAGAGATCTGGATTCACTCCGCCACCCCAAATGGCTAATGCAGGGCCTGGCCCAGCGAGCATAATAAGGGCGAACCAACCCTACACAAATATGCGCCAAGGTCCAATGCCTACCCCACCGGTAGGGAAAAGAAGTGCAGATCAACGTATACCTATGTCACAACAGAAACCGTGAGTGATTCGATATACGTTTTCTGTTAATTTTACATTCATGTTATTCTCAGTACTCATTGATTCATCGAATACTTGTTTCATTCAGTTGCATTTGTTTTCAATTTGGAAAAGTAATTCTCTTTTTTTTTTTGTATACAAAAAGAACTTTAAAGTATGAAAAGTAGAGATACAGTAAAAAGTTTGTTGAAATGCTTGAAATACATGTATTAGTTAATTTAATGGTATTGCGTCGACATTAAAAATCATTTACCAATTTGCCAGGAACTTCACTGCACTTCATAAGCTTCAAAATTGGTTTATTGATTTTTGAATCTATGATTTTTACACAAACTCATTTAGGTATTTTAATTGGAACAGTGATTTTTCACATTCCACATCCAAGAAGAAAAAAAAGCTGGCAGACAAAATACTGCCGCAGAAAGTCCGTGATTTAGTGCCAGAGTCGCAGGCTTACATGGATTTGCTTGCATTTGAAAGGAAGTTGGATGCGACTATAATGCGGAAACGACTAGATATACAGGAGGCACTGAAACGTCCCATGAAACAAAAAAGAAAGTTACGAATATTTATTTCAAATACCTTCTATCCAGCGAAAGAAGCTGGAGAAGGAGAGGAGGGTTCTGTGGCATCCTGGGAACTGAGAGTCGAAGGACGGCTCTTGGATGATACAAAGAATGATCCCAATAAGGTAAAGATATTTCTGAAGAAGTCAACACCACGACGATGGGAGAAGACATATCCATTAACGTACAAAAAATTTTAGGTAAAAAGAAAGTTCTCCTCGTTCTTTAAGAGCTTAGTTATAGAATTGGATAAAGATCTGTATGGACCTGATAATCATTTGGTCGAATGGCATCGTACATTGACAACACAAGAGACTGACGGTTTCCAAGTGAAGAGACCAGGAGACAAAAATGTTCGGTGCACTATACTCTTGCTCCTCGATTATCAGCCTTTACAAGTAATATTTCCTGGCATCTTCTTCCGTTCTTTCAGTCTGAGAAATATATCAACCGAAAGACACCAGTACGTAAATACATTTTCGTTTCGTAGTTCAAACTGGATCCCAGATTAGCCAGATTGTTGGGTGTACATACACAGACAAGACCAGTAATCATTTCCGCGCTCTGGCAGTACATAAAAACGCACAAGCTTCAAGACAGCCACGAAAGGGAGTTCATAAACTGTGATAAATATTTGGAGCAAATATTTGCCTGTTCGAGGATGAAGTTCGCCGAGATACCGCAACGTTTGAATCCTCTGCTTCATCCGCCGGATCCGATAGTGATTAATCACGTGATCAGTGTGGAAGGTATGGTAAAGTTATCGAATCATAGAAATCGCGACGGAAAAACTATGCACACACAATCTTTACTCTTTACGTTAGGTACAGAAACGAAACAGACCGCGTGTTACGACATAGATGTCGAGGTCGACGACACATTGAAAACGCAAATGAACAACTTCTTGCTCTCGACCGCGAGTCAGCAAGAGATACAGAGCCTCGACAACAAGATCCACGAGACCGTCGAGACTATCAATCAGCTAAAGACAAACCGAGAGTTTTTCCTTAGTTTCGCCAAAGATCCGCAGCAGTTCATCAACAAATGGATTATCTCGCAGACCAGGGATTTGAAGACAATGATAGATGTTGTCGGGAATCCCGAGGAGGAACGGAGAGCCGAATTTTATTACCAACCGTGGGCGCAGGAAGCCGTTTGCCGATACTTCTACACGAAGGTTCAACAGAAACGGGCGGAATTGGAGCAGGCGCTCGGCATCAGGAATTCATAAAACGTTAACAAAAGAAGAAACCAGTAACGGTTCTGAAGCATTATTATGTAAAGTATTTATATGAATCTTTTTTTTTTCTTCCTGTTTGAATTGCAGCCGCCCCGTCGATTAATATGCCTCACACGCTTTACTCGACGCTCCGTGAGGTTATGTTAAAAGTCTGGATGGACAGTAGGGCGACGTATTTTTTATGAATGTCGGGAAACACGAGAAACAAAGTCCTGAGTAATAACGACTCCTCCGAAGCAGCTTTATTTAGATATAAAAGTATATATGTCATGTGTCTTTATCGAAGTGAAATCTGTTTGTTTTCATAAATCTTTTCTATGAACGACTTTGAACCGCTGCGATGAAATTCTGTACATTATAATGAATAAATCTTTGATATAACTCGCTGAAATCATCCTCGAGCTGGACCCCACGCAGGCGAACGAAAAGGACATTAATAGAACTGCAAATTAACTAGTAATAACCGAGCAATTTCATTCGTATTATGATTAGACTGCGGATTTTATGCATTTATAGCCAATAGGGCTTTGTGCAATACCACAGAGAAAGAACTTTCATCAAATTTAAAGGGTTTTCTACTTTATTCTGAACCCAATAAGATATTTCAGGGAAAAAATAGATTCCTACTTTTGCTGTTTTCTTCGAAAATTATTTTTAAAAATGTCATTTTGCATAAAAATCCGCAGTCTAGACTTATGATAATGATCGATTAGGTTTGAGTAGGGCAACAGAAGTAAATAGTACCGATCGTTCAGTTATCCAATTCTTATTTTGTTTGTGCAAGTAAATACAATTTCTTACATAATCAGTACATGTTTGATGCAAAATATTATTTCGGCAATACCGCCAATTTAAAACGCAGGGAACAGGAGAACCTTAAATTGTCTACGATTTTCACATTTATCTTTATTTTTTTTTTTCTTCATTTTCTCGAGTCGCGGTCGTAAGTTCCGTTTTTAATCAGTGTAAAAGTGCCTTTTTCTCCCATACTTAAAAGAGTATCATGGATTAATTTGATTCAGTATTACAACATTAACATTCCAAGCATTCATACGGGATGGGAAATTCCAGTGCGATTGGATTACATTCTCATCCTTTCTCTCTGTGAGACATTGAGTATTTTTCCCATTTCTTGCGAACGATTTTGAAACGTATCGTGTTTCGATTGGATAAATCTTCCTACGCTCCTCTTTTCTTTTTCTCTTCCAGATATGAAGCCGCCAATGACATTACGAAACATTCTTTTCACATGCCAACGAGCATTACACGTAAAGCATTGATCACGCTTTTTTATTTTTAGAGTTCGGTGTATGTGAACTGCCACTTTCTTGTAGGTAAAATTTCACTAAAAAATTGAAAATACGTTCATACAAATAGAAATTGTTAAGGACACTAATTTGTAGAAACTGGGAATGAGACAATTGACTTGTTGAGTAGAGGAAATTGTTGCTTGTGGTTTCACTCAAATGATTTTTTTCTTTCTTTTTTTTTTTCACTTAATAACAGTATGAGCAATTATTTTATGTTCGTTGTGAAGAGTGACATTTCATATACACCAATAAAAACGATGCGACACTTACGTTCCAGCGATAAAATTTAAAAACCTCATAATGTCGCGAACGTAACTCTTATAAACGGGGTCGCGGTGTCCCTTTCACTGAATCACAAGTGCACAAATTGATTGTATCGTTTCTAATACAATAAACTCTGATTAAGTTCTCTCTCTGGCGTATCCGTTCGACGGTCATTCTGTAATGCATTTACTATTTCATTATTATTGACCTGTACTGATTGGAGCAGAGTACGCCAAGGAATTGCATGCATGAGATCAAGGTTTATTGTATACGTTTTACTCCCTAATCTTAATTACACATTCACATATATTTCATCGTATAAAGTTTTAAATATACATACGGGTGACGAGACGTGTTGAACACTTTTTTTTTTGTTTAATTAGACATTATTCACCTAAATCATATGGAAGGTTGACGGGTAGAAAGGGGGTGGTTATTCTAGACACATTTCTCTATGCTCACGACAAGTCCACAAAGATCACGTGTTGCCAAACAGTATGAATGGCAGGTGAATCTCTGTACACCCGAATATCTCGTGAATAATCATAGTTCGTACAATTCACTAGTAGTCCTTGCTTGGATAAAACCGTTGTTTCCATCTTTCTTCCATCGTTTTAACACGCTGACTGCCAGATCATTGTTCATAGAGCTTTCATTCGACTGAGTCAAACATCTTTTGACAGAAAACTGCTGGTTCGTGTGTAACCCAGGATTTGTTGTGGTTCGTTGAATGTCATTAATCGACAAGTTTGTATTAGTTTGTTCGATAGAATTGTGATTTCAGTCAGAACCTTTCAATAGGCTAGACAGCATACGATAAAATATTACTTTCTTTGTCACCCACAATGTGGCAACACGCTTCTCATATGAAAATATGGCTATTATCCAAATATTCGATACGACTATCCAGCAAGAGGTTGTATCATTCGTACACTAGTGATGTAGCTGTCAACGTGTTAACTGGGGATTAATAACACTACAGAGATCGTACACTTTTTTTTTGTTTTTGCAAGACGAGGTAGCACACAGAGCCTTGAACAGTTTCCCTTGTTTTGTTCTGTGAAGACATATCGTTGAGGTGATCACATTTTGGGTATTGCTTTACATTCTAACCAACGTAAACACAGAAACTTGCTTTTGCATATAATGTTTTGTTCGCTAACTTCTTGCTTTCGTTCCAACATCTGATTCTTATATATTGGATCGTATATGATGTACATAAATCTTTATCTTGTTTGTTGTGTGATTTCTGTACGCATCTAGGTTCAAGAGGAAGGTAAATTCCGTTTGTGCAGTCTTTTTGGTACAATGTTAAGTAACAATGCGAGATACATTGGTGCAAGAGATCCATGGTTCTGGAAGTTGTGTTTAATTCCACTTCCTTCCTCTTTTACATGACTATGGATACGTTTCGAAACAATAGCTGGTATGTTAAATGACTGTCGATAAAGCGTATAAATGTCACCTATGATTGCGCTTTGTCGCGACAAATCTGCATAACACAAATGTTTCTTTTGTACTATATATACGTCACTTGAATACAATGATACGTCATTTGCCTTTATATTTCTATGAATATTCTAGAACGGAAGATTCGCAAATTTCTCGTCGAGACATCATGCGAATTGATTGTTAAAATGATAAATTTTTTATAATTTAAAAAAGAATATATAACACGCATATAAATAGAAGTTTAAAATCTTGAAATTAATAACATGATTATATAAGTAACAAAGTAATCACAAAATTTCCGTACGCTAGAATCTAAAACTTCTAAAGGCCCGACTTTTTTTTTTAAATTTAGGAATGTTTTTATCTCCCTTTTTTTTTCTAACGACTTAACAAGCGCTCTAAAATTGAAACAGTTTTAAAGAATATGAAATTTCAACTAACCATTAGTAAAAGAACTTACTGCAGTGTAAATTTTCTAGCTTGCAATAATGTTCAATACTGATTCGGTACCGGAGCAACAATAGGTGTCATTTCCACGTTTTAATTACTACTACGCCGGTGATAAAAATCATCTGAAACGTATACGCTTTTGTTATGCTATCGAAAACAGACTTCTTTGTTAATTCGTACAAGCGTTCAATGCGAAATTTTGCATTCTTTTTTTTTTGTTTTTTGACTTTCTTAAAGTATTTTCTAAAATAAATAAAAATGCATTACTTCATTATACTACAACATAAAAATATCAACTGTGTTTTTTAACCCAATTGTTGGGATAAGTTGATAAACATAGGATATGCATAGAAATTATTTGGTATAGTTACAACGTTTGGAAGTATTGTTAGTTAATAACCTCTAATAACATAAATATCACTACGAATGATAGAGTACTGGAGGCGTACAAAACTAGAGTGTAGAAGAACAAACTTTTCCACTATACATCACATTGGATGGATCGTAGAGCAAGGCAGTTTGTGTACTGTGAGGTTCATTACTTGATATGCGATGCGCACACAAATAACTAACAAGGTTAGCCGTTGTACTGAGATAAGTCAGACACTAATGCTTACGATTTCAATATGAAATAATACACGCTAGAATAAAAATGTGCAGAGTCATTTGATGTTTTCCCCATTGTGTTCTATCCAAGTAATGATAAATTGGCATTTGAGTTGCATGCTCGTGCAACTCGTTAAGGCTTGAATATGTCTTTGACTCGTTCCAAATCTGAGCAAATTTGTTAATGCTTCAAAAATGTCCTTGGAAACACGCGAGTGTTAAGAAGAACGTGAAAGTTCTTCAAAGTGTTTTAGCTTTTTCGAGTAAATCATTAATGAATTTCTGAAACATATAAACGACTTGTGTTAGTAACTGTTACACTGATCTCTGTACAAACATTACTTCCGAAGAGGTATGGGTCCGAATGAAGCTACTTCAATGTACTCGGAGTATCTTATGTTGCTTTTCAGATGAAACATTTTACACGAATAAATTAGTCACGTATTATTAAATTCTAGAGAGTGAAATATTGTTATGAACAAATATTATAGATCTAAAAGGAGAAAGACAGTTGCACGATACTTACATTTACATCATGTGGTGGTTTTTTCGTGTCAACCAGTAATTCCTATAAAATCGAATAAATATAAATTGAGATTATAGTTAATATTCGTGTCGAGTGTTAATTTCCGAGAAATTGTATAATGTACATTTACGTACTTGTAAAAATCTCCGTCTGTGATCATCGCTATCCATGTCGAGAAGTTCATCGATATCGATTTCAACTTCTCGATTTTTACCGCTATCATTCTGTAAATTAAAGACAGCAAGTTACAGCAAATATTTTAACATCCTCGCGAAATCTATGAATTAAATCAGATTGCAAACTGTGTATCAGAATGGAGTTTAAATTCGAACTTACTACTGACTCGTATAATTTCTCTAGTTCATCAAACAACCACATTTCCACCGCAAGTCTTTTGCGAATGAGGGACATCTGATGAGAACCATATTTAGCTGTCAAGAATTTCTCACGACGTTCCTTCACTTCTCCCTTTTCACTGAATGCCACATGCAGATTCGCACGCGCAGGACTACGTTCAGCAGTAAGCACTCCACCTCCTTCCATTATAAAACTATCAAACAATTTAAATGCATTAATTCATACAAAGCATACAAGAAAATATTTACAAAACATTCTACAATGTGTTGGAAGGCTATGTTGAAAGTCCTCGTCTAACTAAACAACTTGTGAAACAATATACATTGTGCTATGAGAAATTATAAAGAAAAAATGTTATTAGGCGGACAATTAATATGAAGTAATTGAAAAATTATGGGATCAGGACAAAGGGGGGAAGGAAAACATAAGAGAAACACATAGTATTATGGAAAAACTACATGTGTATCTACACATCTTTATTATACCACAGAATAACATACGTTACAAACAAAATAATTGCATAAACTGAAACTATATTTAGAGAACAAAAATTACATTCGTTAAACAAGCCAAACAGATTCCCTTTTATCTTATTGTAAACAATATAGTGGTGCAACAGAATTGATACTGGAATGATCGGGTGCAAATAAAGAATTATGTATAAGGCAATCTTCTCTTAGTCAGTGTATGATTACACACGTTACAAAAGAGTTAATTATCGTCCAAGCAATTTGAGTGAAAGAAACCAAGTTCCGTGAACTATAATCAAGGCAACTGTAAGATCCGGATTAACGCAATCGCGCGCGGCGTTTTCCTCCCCGGTTTAACGATTTCGTTTCACTAATCTGTCGTTAAATCTAACTAATGAAAATTATAAACAAATTTTCTTTATTCATAAATGTTTCATTGTTATGAAAAATGATTTTTAGAATTGAATTAGAAATGAAGATGAAAGTGGTTCTCAACTACAACAACAGTTGAGGTAGTTTGAATTTAAATTACCATCTTCTATTTATAATTTTTTAGATAATTTGGAAAATAATTTATATAACTTTTCATTTTTTCGATATTCTATAATTTTAATAATAGAATGAAATTACTGTAAAATCTCGATTATTGGAGAACCATTTTCCCGAATAATTCAGTGTTCTCAAGACAATGTCGTCAAAGGACGTAAGGAACACATGTTCAATAGTATAATGTAAATGAAAACTAATCTAAAATTATTGTATTAAAAAAATGTTGATAAAACAAAATAAAAAGAGAATATAATAATTCAATTTTTGGTGATGAACCAATTTGTATAATCGATTTTCCACTATATTAAATGTATCAATGATTACTTCACTATTCTTTTAATTATGTGGCAATAACACTTTACATTAAAAATATCTTGTCAACCTTTTCTTGGGTAAATATAGTGCAGACTGTTAAAAAAGAATCATTATAAATATAAACAAAAGTGTACAGACCCTTAGCTTCTTCTTATTTATAATAATACCTTTTTTATAATTATATTTACAAGTGTATATATATATATATATATTAATTGCATTACAAAAATAAAAAAAAGGAAAATATTTCGATCGGGATCTCCCGGTCAGTTCAACTACCTCGATTATTATTGTTACACTTAAGAATCACTTTTATTCCCAATGGTGCTGAGACAATATCACCCAAAAACACTTGCACTAAATTTTATTTGCAAAAAATAACTCTTATTCCAATCTTATTTTTTCCCTATTAGTACAATTGTTACACCTCGAGAAATGGTACTTTCGGTACAAATTACTTCAGCACAAGAGTCAGTACGCTCCCACAACGGGTCGAGCAATTAAAGCACGTGTGAACCACTTTTTTTCGCATGCTACGATAAACAATGGGCCCCGGATATCTTTCTCCCCTTCATTAATACTATTGAATGCAAATGTAACCTCGGCGAAGCGATGCGACGCGACGCGCTTTGGTCTATACAAACACTCTTAAGCAATAACCGAAATAAAAATATCGCAAACGATCCAATAAAACGCGACAGTATGTAATAAAATGGAATTAAAAAAATGTATACGAACAGACAGTCCTGTACAAGAAGAAGAAATAAATTCACGCTTGGCCGTTTAATAAAAGATTAGCGACTCTCCTCGTCGTTATTGCTGTCGCGGATATAAACAAAGGACAATTTTACGGACTTCGATTCTGTGCCCGGACTTATATCGAGAAGAATATTATTAGCGCGCGTTCACGCGATCGCTTATAGTTACTTACTCTTACTGCTTCTATTTCGGAATTTCTACTATTCGAGCCGTAACACACTATCGTAATGCCAAGATCCATACGAATAATAAACTTTCTTGAAGGTAGGCGAGATCAGACGAGATTGATAGCATCTTTCACTAGCCATTGCTGCCATAAGACCCGTGCGATCTAGTTATTTCTTGAGCAATGACTGCGTTCAGAAGACACAACCGTTAAGTGATTTTACTAGATTGACTCTGATCGCTACACCTAGGGATGAATCGATACAAGTAAATACGAGTAGTACCCGATACTTTTGTTTCGATACCGAGTAAGTATCGACTTAACCCTAGCTACACCACTCAACGGTGTGTCTTCTGAACGTAGCCAATGACAGCGCGGATCCACTAGGGATATTTTGACGTGAGAAGTTTTATGTTGCTTGCGATATGGACATGCGTTCGATAGGCGACACAAATCAAGTGAAACAAACTTTTATATTGAAATCGTTAAAACATTCGTTTATTAGAAAATTTACGCTAAGAAACTGAACCTTTAATGTAACATATGTTCGTAACATTTTTTAATAATTGCATAACAGTTTTGTAACATTATTAATGTTAATTAGATATTGAGAATGTGCGAAGAATTTTAGTAATAAATAGACAGGAATTGGTGAAAACTATTTATTATACAGATATAATTCAATCTTGACTTGCATCAACATTCTCTGTTTGTAGTCCTTTGAAAGTAGCAACTGGTATGTACGTAACTAAGGTGTACAATTTGTTAGGTGAATCCTCATCGTCGTTTCTCCTTCTACTCAATCGTACGCGAACTCTGAAGGGTACATTCCTAAGGAGTACAACATTTAATTAGACCAAATAGGAAACATAGGATAATATTGCGATACTGATGACTATGACTGCGGATTTTATGCATTTATCGCAACACGATTATCTAAAATTCAGTAATTAATGCTTTTATCAAATTTTCCAAGATTTTTATTTTTTGCAAACTCCTCTAAAAGCTTTAATAGGGCTGTCAAATTTCTATTGCAACCCAATCTTTATAAATTAGCCCACAAAAATAGATATTTGCATAAATATCCGCAGTCTACTGATGACTATCAAAAGATTGAGTCCCAGCTTAGAACAATACGTAAAGTAGAACATTTGCAGGTTATACGTTAAATTATAATACTTGCCTGATTCCTTTAGACCAAAGTTGTTTGTTGAGACGGGTGTCAATCCTCACATCTGGGGTACCCATTTGTTGCTCAGCAAACTTACGAATCTCCTTGATTGCTCTAGGAGCACGCTTTTTAAAACCAACACCATGAAGACGTTTGTGAAGGTTCACTGTATATTCACGAGTCACTACCTCGTTGATAGCGCTCATTCCCTTGTTTTCTTTGGACTTCGTCATTTTGCTCTGAAAACAAGATTGTAGTGGTTCTTAGCTGTTCTCACAATGTTTTAGGTGACCGATTAATTCGGTTTATACTAGCAGGTAGAGCAGTAAACAAAACAATGATCAACTCGTGGGTACTCGGTACCAAAAATATGATACTGCCGAGTGATAATATTGAAACAATATTATTATAGAATAATTAGACGACATAATTGTACCAAAAATTTTTTATTTAGAATAATTCACAGTCGGATGCTTCACGATTCTATTTTCCCCGAATTTGACATTACCTGTCTCACGAATGGTCCGACGTAAAAGAACCAGAGTTTCCGGTGTTCCTAAACTTATCATTTTTACACTATGCAACATTGACGATTGTTTATTGCATAAAAAATGCGAATACAATATATTTGCGACACAATATATCGTAACAAGACATTATTATTTAATTATATAACCGTTTCACATACATTTTTACAATCTAAATAATACTTTTTTAAATGATAAAGACAAATCGACAAAAAAGTTTTAGTGATCATCACATAAAGTTTTTCATCAAAATGCTTCATGCTCAACGATAAAATTGTATATCTTTAACATTTCTTTCGTTAATAATTACAATAATATTTTACTAATATTTTGCCAGGAAATAATTTAAGGTCATATGAATGGAATTGTTACTAGGATAATATCCCTAGTAGTTTCCAATTTCTCCGCTAGCACTTTTATCAGGTCTTCGCTTCTGTATCACATTCCTTAGACTTCCTTATGTTACTTACTCTATCGTTATTAAATAAATTCGTTGGTAAACAATAGCAAATTTTCTGTTTGAAACTTTCATTGAAATTCGTCTAGTGGTAACGCAAATAGTTGGGAACCACTGTATACGGCATATTGTCATTGATATTGTCGTACTAGATGTGTTGCATGACACAAGGAAGATCGCGCCACGATAGCTTCGAGGACGCTCGCGATGGTGGAAAATGGAGTCTATTAACCTGTGATGTTGATACGATTGTTTTTAATCATTAAAAAGCTTTTCATGGAATTAAAATGGCTGGTAAAGTGTGGAATACAGAAATATGGAAAGCATGGGATAAACATGGGAAAAATGATTTGTAAGTGGTTAACGCGTTAACGTCCGAAGTGCGTTCGATTAATATTGAATTGATACTCTGCATACTATGTGCAATTGATGGTTGCAACTTATCTCTCCTGTTTCTCGCTCTTCTGAAGAGTTAATTGTCAATTAACGACTGTTTGCAGCCTCAAGTTAATCAAGCACAAATTTAAGGAAGGCAACACTACAGGTGAATATTTATTCTACCGCTTTACCCTATAGCCAGCTTGGCAACATGCTTCGAAATCTCGTATCTGTTTATACACATTAAAGTATGTCGGTCTCGTTTTAAGTCATTGGTACTCTATTATTCACGAAATCTACGATATTTTCTTTTTTTTGCCTTTATTCGGTATAAAAAATACAAATTTTATTCACTCAAAGTATACCTACTATATATCATTATACGTAAATTCTTTATGTTATATTTAAACTTGATTATATGTTGTTTTTTTTTTTTAAATATATAACATTATACGTATGTTGGGAATCTTAGACTCGAATTTATGAATTTTGGCCAGTCAGTGAAACGGAAGGGTCATTCTTATTTTATCCTTTCTTTGAATCACAGCATTAGAACTATTTGGTAGGCACTAACAATATTGGATGTCTTAGAGGCATAGTTAGGATGCAGTTTGCTTTAATTCGTGGTATTCCATAGATGCCTTCTAATTGAATATGATAAGCGAAAAGGATGATGCAGCAGCGTATTTCTCCTGCTGCAGAAATGACCAGCCAAAACTTGTGAACTCGAAGTGAACACTGTTTATTCAGTTTGTGAACAGTGAATAGGCATACAATGAATATAGAGCATACAACATGTTTTATACGTTCGTGTAATGTTCATTTTAATTCCAGAATGGAGAAGAGGATTGTACGAATTAATATCAAATGGAACCCATGGGAACATAAAAAGGGACGGTGTAGTTCAGACGTTAGGTGAACTCATGGTAAGATGGACGACGCATGATCTAGAAACATTATTGTCGCGAACAAGGTACATATTGTACTATGTTTTTACTCTATAAATCTATCAATTTTCAGAATATTGATGGAGCAATACCATCTGCGATAGTAGATATATTTACACTAATAGATGCGGAAGCACATAATGAAGAAAGAAATAATTTTTATTATATTGTGAAAGAATCTGAAAAGGTATCATTTTATAGGATAACAATAAACGCGATTGAAGTATTTACAATCGATTAAACAAAAAAAAACACAAATACAATGTCCTAATGACATAATTTATGTCATTTGCTTTTTGCACAGTTTCTAACAGATAGGATATTAAAGGAACGTTTAGAAATTGATACGTTGCAAGATGTAGGAACATTAAAGAATAAGAATTTCCAAACCAAATTCATTAAAGTGAAGACAAAGTTGTAGTACGTATATTTTTATATCCTTTTCGTCGGTTAATATATAACATTCCATGCAAACTAAGAGGACATATGTCTATAATATTTCTTCATTTCTTGCAGCTATAAGCAACGGAAATTTAATTTATTTAGAGAAGAAAGCGAAGGGTATTCTAAACTTATAGTGGAATTGAATCAGGAACGTCCAGAAAGTGAGGTACCAACGATATTAGAAATTGTTAAATCTTTAATCGGTACGTGTATGAAACTTTAATTTCTTTACACATACAGTTTATTGGTGAACTTTTTTATGCGAGCGGCACACATGTAACGATATGTATGTCATTTTTATAGGCTATTTCAATTTAGACCCTAACAGGGTACTTGACATTTTACTAGAAACCTTTGAGAATCGACCTCAGGACGATGCACTTTTTATTCCTCTAATTCGTTCATATATGAGTGATCAGCAGGTACTCTGCGAAGTTTTGGGATTTAAATATTGTTCAACCGTGAATGCTACTCCGTTTTCGTTGCAAAAAGTCACAGCGCTGATGTTGCAACACGGTGTCATTAAACTAGACGATATATTGCCATGGTTAGTGCCAGATGATAGGACCATCATTAAAGAACATGAACAGGCAATGAAACAAGCGAAAGAGTACGTTCGTAAGCTAAGTGTGATTTCCACTAAGGATAAAGAAGAGGTGCCGGAAGAGAAAGAGAACCCACAGGTAGAAATTCTCCTAACTATTCATAGAAATGTTTTTGTCGCCTGAAGTTTTCAGTTGTACGTTCATTTCTGTAATAGGATAAGTACGCGAGCAATCAAAAGTTCGGATTATGCGAAGCATTGTTAGAAATAGGAGCCTGGGAAGTAGCACAAAACCTATTCAATCGATTACCAGAACACAGTCTTACCGATCAACGTCCAATCGCGTTGTCACTGTGCAAAATGATTCAGTCTCTTATCGAACCTATTTATCGCAAGTGAGTCCCTTTTCGATTATTATCCGTCGTATAAACGAATTCAAAATTAAATTATCGTACTGTGCTGTCGCATTCCGTTCACAGAAATTGTATCATATCACCGAAAATACAAGGCAGAAGGGTTCCCCCTCTGAACAGCACGCTCGCCCCGAAATCGATAGAAGATCTCGAAGCGATTCACGATCAATTGTTGCCGATGCTCATCGTTCTTGGTCCGAATCTGCACCACGATCCCGTTTTAATGTACAAAATAATGAGGTTATGTCATGCGGCCATAAAGCAGTGCCCGTTGGATTCGAACAAGCAGCCGGTCGACAAAAATAATAACCTGTACTACGACGTGCTGACCATACTTGACGTGGCATTGCTGCCCTCGTTGTCGTTTATGGACTGCAACTGTTGCGTCGCGGAGGAGCTTTGGAACATTCTAAAGTATTATCCATATCAGAACCGTTACTGTTTGTACGCCCGTTGGAAGAACGATACGCCTCTGCAGCATGCAGCTCTGTTACGAAAGCGAGCAGATGCACAGAAAAAGATCAAATCCATCATGAAGAGAGTGAGCAAGGAAACTATCAAACCTGTGGGAAGATCGATAGGCAAATTGACTCACTCGTCACCTGGTGTTTTATTCGATTATGTTCTTATACAGATCCAGTTGTACGACAACCTCATAGGTACGCAGACAATTGTGTATGTCTCAAGAAACATTTAATTCTCTGACTGTTCTACGTGTTACAGGACCTGTTGTTGATTCCCTAAAATACCTGACGAACATTTCGTACGATGTACTTGGTTACTGTCTCGTGGAAGCACTGGCTGGTGCCGACAGAGACAGATTTAAGCACGATGGCACTAGCATATCCCTTTGGCTCCAGTCTCTCGCTTCATTCTGTGGAGCTATATTCAAGAAATATAACATCGAACTTACTGGTTTGCTGCAGTATGTGGCTAATCAACTCAAGGCACAAAAAAGGTACATTGTATAGGTTAACCTTATAATATACACTGTAATTTTTTTATTTTACATCACATCGTTGTACAGTTTTTCGAATAGACGTGAGGTGATAACATTGGTATTTGTTGGAATAAGTATTCTCCATACCTTTTTGCTTAGTTTTCATCAACCTTAAATAGCCATAAGAACGATGGTTTTGTACATCCTACTGTTCGCCTTTATTTTCAGCTTAGATTTATTAATATTGAAAGAGATAGTACAAAAGATGGCAGGTATCGAAGCTGCTGAAGAGATGACTTCGGATCAGTTGGACGCTATGGCAGGTGGTGACTTACTAAAAAACGAGGTAATCCCAGTTACCGGATATAATCAACTGCATTATTACAAACCTATTCATGCCTCCTTCGAAAAATGTTTTCTCTTAAGGCCGGTTACTTCAGCCAAGTACGAAATACAAAAAAATCGTCTCAACGATTAAAGGAAGCTCTTGCCGAGCACGATCTTGCTGTTGCTTTGTGTCTCTTGATGGCGCAACAAAAACACTGTGTTGTGTACAGGGAAACGGATAAATCTCACCTTAAACTTGTTGGTAAGTATCTTGCCCGATAGAATGTTTTGCTGTCAGTGAAATTTATGGATATATTATATCACCAAAAAATTACAGGAAAATTGTACGATCAGTGTCAAGATACGTTGGTACAATTTGGAACGTTCTTGGGCTCGACGATGACTGTGGACGAATATGTGGAGAGACTTCCCTCCATACATTCTATGCTGCAGGACAATCACATACATTCTGACGTTGCATTTTTCCTCGCGAGACCGATGTTCGCGCACGCTATTAACGTATGTAATCTATAGTCTGTTCTCTAAACCGAATTTCACGATAATTCGAGAATCCGAATACATAGAACGTTTTCAGATTAAATACGATGCCCTGCGTAAAGCTGACCCGAATTACAAGAAAATGTCCACCGCCATGAAGCAAGCAAAGTACGCGGAAGCTGCGCAAGCTGTGATGGCACCTGTTGCTCAATCCGTTCGGCCGTTGCATCCTCTGAAAGTGTGGGAGGACATATCACCTCAATTTCTGGTGACCTTTTGGTCCCTGTCCATGTACGATTTGTATGTTCCTGTTGAAAGTTATCAACGAGAGATTAATAAATTGAAGCAACTCGCGGCGCAAAGTGCCGATTCCAAAGATGTGGTACGCCAATCATGTCTTTAACGTTAGCAAAACAGTGTCTTTGTTTTAAGTTTTCACTAACGCCATCCTTACAGAATGTTGGCAAAGGGAAGAAGGAGCAAGAAAGATACACTACTCTAATCGAGAAGTTACAGGATGAAAGGAGAAAGCAAGAAGAGCACGTTGAGAAAGTGTTTGCATACCTCAGGTAAGTTTCCATCGACGAAGATGATTCTATGAATTGTATATTATTCTGACGTTCTAATGTTTGTACGCCAGACAAGAGAAGGATACATGGTTCTTGTCACGAAGCGCGAAATCAGCGAAAAACGAAACGATAACACAATTCCTTCAGTTGTGCCTGTTTCCCAGATGTACATTCACCACTGTGGATGCCATGTATTGTGCGAAGTTCGTTCACACTATACATTCTTTAAAGACTGCAAATTTTTCGACACTACTTTGCTACGACAGAGTAAGTAAGATCGATGGAATTGTGCGAGGACCCGAGAATCTGTTTAGTCAGAATCAGGAATTTTTCTCGGTGATCAGGTTCGGATCAGGCTTTGAAACGATTCCGAACATAATTGTTTCAAACTCTTATATAAAAGTTCTAATTGAAAGAGTTATGAAGAACCTTTATTCTGAATAACTGTTACGAAGAACCTAAATTTCAGGCTATATAAGTTTCAGTTACGGTTCCTATATCAGCTCCCATATCAGTATTGTTTAGGTTCTATATTAGTTGTATAACAGTTATTTTTTAGGTTCTATATCAGTTCTGAATAGAACCTAAAAAATAACTGTTATAGAACTGATATAGAACCTAAATAATACTGATATGGGAGCTGATATAGGAACTGTAACTGGAACTTAAATAACCTGAAATTTAGGTTCTTCTTAACAGTTATTCAGAATAAAAGTTCTTCATAACTGTTTCGAGAACTTAAACTAAAACCATAACAGTTTTCAAGCCCTGGTTAGGATCCACAAAAGCATCTCGTGGTGTGTAAGAATTTTGAGATTAGCCGTGATTTTGGGTTCTCGCACACCCTTACCGATGGAAATAAAGCAGAATATTCATTTAAATATAACCAAAATCTTTGCAGCTTTTCTGTGATATAACATATTCAGTTACCTCGTGCACCGAAAACGAAGCAAATCGTTACGGGAGATTTTTGTGCGCCATGCTAGAAACCGTGATGAGATGGCATTCTGAGAAAGCCATATTCGACAAGGTACGTGCTTCGGTATTTTCAAATTGTCGAACGTAATGTGTCAGTGGTTTATTCGATTTTTAGGAATGTAGCAATTATCCAGGATTTGTAACGAAATTTCGCGTCAGCAACCAATTCTCCGAAGCGAATGACATGGTAGGATTTGAAAATTACAGGCACGTGTGCCACAAATGGCATTACAAGATTACGAAGGTACTTGTCTTACGAATTCTTCCTCTTGATAGTTGTGCAAATTACAATGTGTTAAGACGATTTCGTGTTACAGGCTATCGTAGTTTGTCTGGATTCCAAGGATTATGTACAAATAAGAAATTCCTTAATAATATTAATAAAAATATTGCCGCATTTCCCTGTGCTGGCCAAGTTGTCTCAAATCCTCGAACGAAAAGTGGAGAAGGTGAGGGAAGAGGAGCGTGGACAACGCCAGGATCTGCATGTTTTGGCCACTTCGTATAGTGGCCAATTAAAAGCAAAAACTCCAAATATGATTCGAGAGGCAGACTTTCATCATGTGGGAGACAAGGTAGTTTGACTTGTTTTTATTTAAACGAGTGAATTTATCAGGGAGTGAAATGATACATTATTTGTAGGCTGGAAAGACGCAAGATACTGCAAACAGTGATACGTCGGAAAAAGCAACCGATGGGATGTCCAGTAAAGAGATTACAAATGGCGACACCCGGATAGAGAAGGAGAATAAGGAGCAACGAGAGAAACGAAGCGCATCGAATCAACTGTACCAGTAGGTTATTCCTTAAAAAGTAGTTCTCTAATAGTATTCCTTAAAAAATTATCATTTTGTTTTTCTTTGTAATGTAATATAGCGAAAGCTCGGAGAAAGTTAGAAAGAAAGAGGAGAGCAAGGAAAGTTCAGAGGGAAAGGACAAGCATGTAAAAAAGGAGGAGGTTAAGGAAGATGATTCGCTGGATAAGAAGGATCGTAAATACTACAAAGTAATTATACATTCCACAGAAATTTCTTTTCAATGTTTCGATGGATGTATTATTGTCTAATGTTAATTGCAGGAGGAACATTACTATAATACTGGTGTAGACAATTTAGATCGAGATCTTTCTAGTGTATCGAATAGTAGCGCTAGTTCCGGACCAACGCAAGATGGATCTGACAGAGGTTTGCATTAAAATGTTGTACAAATTATCGGGACGGTCGTGCTTTCTAGCGGTATTTATTGTGATTATTATTTGTCGTGATACTAACAATATTTGATTTTAGATGCCAAAAGAAGAAAAATTGAAACTATTCAAAAGGTGAGAAAACTAATGGTTGGCGTAGATTTATCTCCTCTGTATATCGTTCTATTTCTTTTTTTTTTTTTCTTTTTTTTTCGTTAATAGGAGGGAAGACGCGCGGAAGGCACTTTGGATAAGAAAGAACGCTCAAGCAAAAGCAAAATAAGGGAAGAACAGAAAGAACTACGCAGAGAAAAGAAAGTGGGACGGAAAAGGGTACATTTTATACTTGTAGTCTGTATTAAAGATTAAGTTGATACGTTTTACAATTAATTTATTGTTTTCCATTAAAACAGGACAGAGCAGAGGAATCAGCAGTTACAACCGAACAAAAACGAAGAAAAGATGACGAACGAGGTAACTACAGTTTTTATTTCAACAGTGGGAATATTTATTGTTACGTTTCCTTTTACGTGATAACCAACGGGATTGTTTTCAGCGAAAGGAACCCATCAAAATGGCGATATCCCCGAACACAGAGAAAAACATCATTACAACAAGGTCGGTAACTTCAGCTAAAAATTTTCCTATATTTCGAAACAATGAAAATAGGACGAATTGAGACTTGAGAAAAATCGATATCCATTCGAATACATTGAGAAAATCATTCTCTTAATGTTTTTGTATGTATTGCAATATTCGAACTATTTTTTTCTATAGTTAGAGAGCTGTTTTTCATCAGTTAATTACGAAATCTATTGTAAGTAGGTCTATTAGTTGTACTCCCCGTAAGTTTCATGTATGACACAGAGTGTAGCGTAGGATTAGAATAAGAAAAATTGTCCCTGTTCGATGAAAAATACTCAGCACACATTCGAGTCACATAATCACACTGTTTTATATAAATCTTGTTCGCATCACAGTTTTTTTTCTTTTTTTTTTTTATTCATTTATTCTGACATTCTGCCATCAATTAACTGAATCGTTTTTCTAACACTATTCCTTGACCCCTTAGTTGATAAAGACGTCCGCTTCGAGTACATTGAAAAGACGAAATGGGAGACAATAGCAAAGACCAGAAAAAATAGGTGATACTATCAAGTACCCAAACGTCGATATATTTGCAAAGAATGCATGGCATTCAGAAGAGTCATATGAAAATGTATTTTCAGGAAAAGTCACCCTACGCAAAGGAACGTACTCATGAACGGGAAGGTCGCGAAGGCAGAGACAAACAATATCCTTTTCTGAATGCCTGTGTTAAATATTGATATAACCTGATTAATAGAAAGATAAATATATTCCTTAACTCCCAGCACTAGAAGGAGTTCGGATCCCAAACGAAGATGATGTACAACAATGGAAAAAAATTTGACTTAACATTTTATATACTACGTTTGGTGTTGCATGTAATTAAGGTAGAATTCAAATAATAAAGCAAAATAGTGAATAATTTGTATATTATATTGACGTCCAATTTTATAAAATAAACTAGGTAACAAAAGCTTTCTTTGGTACACATTCAATTCAGGTCTGAGATTTGTACATACTACAGAAATGTTTTATATAATTTATAATAAATAGCAGTTGATGATTTCAATAAAGACATTGTCGGACGATCCGTGGTTTGTTGTTCAATGATTATTTATGATCACTATTTCAAATTTCCTCTAAAACACAGAGAACTATCACAGTGACATACATATCCATCAAACTCTTACCTACTTTGTAGATAAAATAATTAATATAAATTTCATTGCAGCGTGAATACTGTATTTTGTACATGTTGTTTCAATGATACTCATTTTATTGCTACTAAAGCACTGTGTATTAATGTTACGGTGAATTATTGATAAAATTGTAGTAATATTGATCTGCTTTCAGACTCTCCTCCTCTAGCCGTTTAAGCCTCAGTTTCGCATCTTGAAGAATATCTTCTGTCGAACTGCTTTCGCTAACAATTGTATTTGTATTTACAGTTTGAGTTGGAACTTCGATGGTAGCAGGCCTTAAAACTCGTATTCCTTCTATTTGCCGAGACAACTGAAGAGCACGTTGGGTGATCTGTTCTATTCTTAATTGTTGCTCTTGTATAAGAGCATTCAATTCCTCCTTCTCTTTAGTTAGTACTTTGATTTTGTCTTCTTGCAACATATCGATAACAAAGTCCGTTTGAACCTCCATATTTTGTAAATTTTGACTAGTAGATACACCTTCCAATTTCTTCTGTTCTTGCAATTGTTTCAAGTCTTCCTCCAGTTTCATACAGAAATTCTGTTCCCTCTGCAGTCTGTAAGCATGTGAGTACATAGAAATTATTAAAATAATGTGTAATATATGCTGTCTGAAGAAAGTGTTTGGCGATTTTTATAATATAAAACTAAAAATTCGTTTATCAGGAAATGTGTGTGTGTACAAATACTTTTTTTTATTTATTATGCGGACAGAGTCATACCTATTTTCTTCTTGTAATAACAATCTTTCCTTTGATGCCAATTCCATTTCTTTCTGTAGAATCTTCTGTTCGTTACACTGCTTCGTCTCCTTCAATTCTTTTTCTTTCAAGCTCATCGAATGCATGACATTCTAGAAGAATTATACTTTTCTATTGCAACTTTCCCAAAAGATTCTTTAACCATGAAACTAAAGTGCTAGCTACCTGAACCTGTCGCAATTTTGTGTTCAACATTTCAACTTGCTGTTCAACAAGCACTGCTTGTTCTTTCAGCATCGTCTCTCTCTCTTGCAATTTGTTATTGACTACTTGTTTATGCATCGATACCTTTCTCTTCAATGCAAGTAACTTTTCCACATGTGAGTTATAAGACACCCACGAAAATTTTGTTTGAGTAGATTCGTTGCAGAGAGCTACATTCTCTTTTATTGGTACGCTATTGTGCGTATTATAAGAAAACATAGTTATGCACTTCAATATACACAAGAGCAGCGGCATATCATTCTCAACGTATTGCGATACAACATATTGTCCTTTTACGTCATGGGGATTAATACCTAGTGTCTCTAGTACATGGAACACATAATCATTTTGTAACTTCTCTTTTACACCACTCTCGCTCCCATCGGAACTCTGAACCGTCTTGTTCGAGAAATTGATTAAAAGTGGTGCTTCACTGGCAAATACCGACAGGGTATAAGCATAATTAAGATTAAATAAATACTCTGCTATCAATAGATCGTAAACATACTGTTTTGCGGATTTGGGATGATCGGTTTTCAAACCAAGATCCTTATTCTTCAATGCGTTAATTAGATTCTGACGAAGGTGCGTTCTTATGTTCGATAACACACCAGATTTCTCAAACCTACGAACAGCACGAATACATAAATTACTCGAAATATAAAACTTAACCTGTCTTCTTTCTTTGAACATGTTGCGTGGAAGTTTACTCACCATTTATACATGGACGAGTAACATTCTTGATCCATATCACAACGAATAATTTTGAACGGTTGTCGAATAAAAATATAAATGGTCAGACAATTCTCGACAACAAACAGATCTGTTGGATCTGTTGTGTTACACGAAAAATTTAAATCTCGCGTTTAATGTCGATACGCCATTGTATCGATGTTGTTTATCGATCCGTTGGCACTCGAAAAAAAACACCATGAACGTAACGTACATATTTACAAGTACGTGAATTTATTTATATAACTGTACAAAAACCGTTGTTTATGTACATTATTCGGGTAGCTTCGTATAATTTAAATAAGTACAAGTACGAGCAAAATACCACACTTCCTCGAGCGTGATACTGATCTAATATCAATCATTTAACACAAAAACACTAGTGAGAACAAAGTATGAACAATGTAAAAAATACTACTACATAGACTGCGGATTTTATGTATCTGAGACGAAAAAGCATATAAAATAAAAATTAATATTTATCAAACTCCGATATTTAGAGAATAATTTATAAAAGTACAGAGTTGCATAAATGTCCGCAGTCTGCCGACAATAAATTAGGGAAAATATAATATAAAAAGTTACGAACAAAAAAAAAAATAGAAAACTTTCACGCAATCATACATTTCTCTCGTATCGCAAAGAAATCGAATGGCATCATCATATTGTAGAATTTGTAATGTTCACGAGTTACCGCATCCCAGATAGCACATGACGTCTAATGATGCCTTGAAGACGTCTTAAAGGCGCCTTAGACCTAAAATAGCCGTAAAATGGACGTCTTTAAGGCGTCATGTGCTATCTGGGACAGTACGAGTGTTACTGTATTCTCTGTTATTTTGAAATGAGTATCAGTTGTCCTGCAACCATGAGGAAACACGTTTCAAAAGGAGAATTGTCTGCGTTACTGATAACTCTTTTAAGAGACTTTGGCTTTCTTCGCATCTGTTTTCTTGTATTTCGTTCGTTTGCTCGTGGCCGTCGATTCCACTTCCTGCGAAAAATCGTACTTCGCTGCGAGTCGTTCCCTTATAAGTAAACCACGGATCAATTTTCTCCAATTCCCATAAACTCTCTTCTCTAGTTTCTCCCTAGCCCGTTTAGCTGCTTCAACTTGTTCCGTCTCCCAGGCTTCTCTCAAGATATCTTCGTATTCGGAACAAACAACATACCCTTCGATAGCGGGCACCGCACCCATACACCCAAAGTTGAAGCCCACCACAGCTGGCGCACAATCGATGTTCAGCTTTCTAGCGATACGGTTTAACGCTGGAACTGATATAATATCATTAGATAATGCTGCTTAGTACCTATTCTATAGTCTTTGTATACTTACGATTTATATGGACAGTGCCCTTTGGAAGCATACACTGCTTGAACAGATCTACATTTCCATATTCATTTCGTGGTACAATACCATCCTTTGCTTCTGGTGGCTCGTAATCTGTGGTCTGCCATTCACCAAACACTTCCAGCGCTGAATTCTTGATTATCGCTCCAGACAGCTGTTATAATCACGTAATTTTTTATATTCAATGCCACTTTTTCATATATTTAACAGAATTATCTAACGAACGGTTTATGGTTACCTTGTCATATTTCGGACGAGCTTTCACTATTTTGTAAGGTTCCTGATTTGGTTTCACGACTTTAGCTTTTTTCAGCCATGTTTCCCTCGAGCAAAGGCTGTGCACACAGTGACGAGAGTAAATGGCCTCACCCGAGGAAGTGTGCCCCAATGGTACGCAATCTGGAGGGTACAATGCTTCGAATTTCAGTAAATGCCTCGCAATGACGTACAATGGATGTCCTTTACATTCGCCAATGGTTTTAGGCAACGGCTGCTCCAGTTCTCTGGAATGTAAAAATAGTTTTAACATTGGGAAGTGTAAGTTTCTTGTGAACAAACGAATCTGACTGAATATGTACTTGTCTAAAAGCATCTGATCTTCGGCTCTAGATATAGCAGTATTTTTTTCCTTCCAATAGGACAGCGTTTCCGTCCACCATTTCTCGTCGATGCGTTCCTTACGCGTAACTGTGAGCCAATGTGAGCAATAACGTCTAGTCACATCCTTTATCAAGTTCTCAGAGTTCCAAGCTACTACGTATAATACAGGCTTCTTTGCTTTTTTCTGTAACAGAGAACATGCATTATCGCTGTACAAATTAAGTTCTGAAGTATAATATAAATGATTCTTCGGGCTACTCACATATATTTCGGTAACACAATGAACCTTCTCTTCCATTACACTCACACAGATCCAACTTTCTTCTGATTCTAGGTATACTTCAGCCCATAGATCTTGGGACTTCCTTCCTTTGTTTGTTTCCTCATTTTCACTGTCAGAAGATAATAACTTGTTACTAGTTTTCTTGCTAGTCTTGGAACTTTGTGCCTTTTCTTCTTTCTCGTTGATCCATTTTTTGTTCATTACGCGTTTCAACTTAGGTTGAAATTCTGCCTCAGAATCTGTAGATTCTTCTTCTATGAAATACTTTGACTTTGTACTATTGTTCTTTGAACTTGAATCTGTAGACTTCTTAGACTGATCATCTTCAGACGAAATATTAAGTTTTCTAGATCTCAACTGCCTTACACTGGACACATTTTTGTTACCTTCTACTGTACTGGACTCACTTTTCTTTCCAGTATGTTTGACACTTGAATCTTTGGCTGCGTTGATTGTTGTCTTAGAATCTTGGGTAGCGTCAGATTTAATTTTTTTCACCTTGGTTTGTGACTTTAAACGTAAAATTTCTGCTGCCCTCTTCTTAGCTTCTATGCTGGCGTTCTTCTTTGCTTCTGGGCTATTTTGAATAATGATTTCTTTTTCAGGTGGTTCCTTTTTCTTGGATTTTGCACTGGTTTTCTCTTTAGCTGATTTACTTTTTGACTTATCCTGTTGCCCCTTCGAATCAAGTTTAAATATTGGATTATCGCTCAGTGCTTTGTGAGGTGGACCAAGTGATACAACTAAACGGCAATGCAAACCCAAAGCTCTCATCATGGCAACATATAGCACAACCAGCTCCCTATAATCAGTAATCTTCTTTTCCCGCAATAACTTTAACAAATTTTCATTATTTATACATGCGTTACCGTTGCTTTCAACAGCTTCAATTTCAAATATACGTTTGAACCATTTTGTAAATTTCTCCAAATACGTGAGATCGATCCTGTTCTTTGGGTATTTGTCAGACGACATTAAGGACAACACAGTTGACATTACTTCAGGCTGATTTGCTTGGCGGTTCAAGTGAAATCCGTAAGCCAGCCAACAAAGTAAACCTACTTTCTCTATGTATACTTGATTTGCTCTCAATTTCCTTTTCAAAATAGTCATCAAATCTTGGCTGCTCTTTTTCTTTCTATTTGACGTAAAGCTAGTACCAGGCAAAATGATCTTAACACCATCCTTTGGGATAGTATACTCTGGAGTATCCTCTGTGTCATCCTCTTCCTTTATAGTTACCTGTTTGAGGCTCTTTTTATTGGAAGAATTTCCACTGGTCTCTCCTTGCAGCAGAAGTTCATTGATTTCATTTGATGATACATTGTCAACCTCCTTCTTTGGTACTTGCACCTTTTCCTCTTTCTTTTGTGGCGCAGTGTGTTCAGGAGATGATTCCTCCTGCTTGATACAATCATCATTGGCTTCGAGTTTCTGTGATCTTTCTAAATTTTTTAAAACCTGAGTGAACAATTCGATGTTACTAGTTTGACTGACATTCTCGAGATCCTCCTCCTCGGAGCTTTCATTCTCAGTGTCACTGCGTAGCGCGGGTACATTAACTTTACGATGTTTCTCCACGAAGAAACTGGAATTTAAATTGATCTTCTCTGGATCTACCAGAAACTCATCGCTACTATCGGAACTGTTGCCTTCCGATAAACCGCTCATCTCAGAAACCTCGTCGAGTCACAATATTCTTTACAATTCTTCTTCAGTTGTCACCCTCCCGCCTTACATCATGTCGCATCACATGTTTCTACGTCTCATAAGTATAAGCGCAATGTTATTATTTATCATGCAGTACATACACCCATTGCATAAAGACAAATTTACAAAAAGGTAAAACGCTCGATGACAGGAATGTTTGATACTGCACAAAATATTTCTTTTATTTGTTGTTTCATTCGGAACAATTCGGAAATTATTTATTTCGGGATAGAGGGTGCTTTGGTAGGCACTCAATATTTTCCTTACATGTAATGATATGTAATGGAAATTCTTATAATCGTGAAGGGAAGAAGGCAGAAATCTTGTCTTTTCATATTATTAAAAAGAAATAATTGAATTTTCAAATATCTGATATTTATCCCATAAACAGTACTTAAAATTGTGACATCATTCTAAACTAATAAGAGTATATAGAGTTTCGCCTGGTTTCGTCGTTATATTTGACTACAATCGAAATTAATTATAAATTTGGAAATGAAGAGTCTAATAAAAAAACACGATCTTTTTAATTGTAATTTCTGAAAACATTATTGTTTGTAAAATACTACTCAGCATAGAAATATTTATCAAAGTCTTCAGCAGAGGGCGCTTTCAATGGACAATTCTATATACTAGTATATACCATGGCGGCCATGACGGTTCTTCCCAGTTCTTCCGTTACATTTGAACTGATTGGTAACGCCGTTACCGTAACGGTTGTTCATCATTGTTCACTCTAGTCACTCTCGTTGAAGCTTTCGTCGAAAAACGTTGTCAGGTAAGCACATTTCACCTTTTCGTAATCTATCCCCATCCACGTATATTATTGCATAAAACACACAGAAAGCAATAGTTTTTCGATCAGTTATCTCACAGCATATCGTCTATTGTTATATTTATTCTTAATTTTCAACAGAAAACCTGTAATTCTTTTTTAAAATGATGATCTACATAGTCTCGTTCGTATGATACATTTTGTGATTACGATCGTAAAATAGTTCTGAATTCATTTAAAAAAATTAGAATATTTCTCGTGATTAGATTGTCGGGATTTTGAATTGTAATTTCTCATTTTTCTTTTAGATTTTTGAGATACACGTGTGTTGAAGCGTGCCTTTGCACCATTTCGGTTTTGGCTTGTTAGCAATCTCTTTAGTGAGTATCTTTATTGTTTCTAACTTTATATAAGTGCACTATCGTTACGTTAAACGTTAATTTTATACCAAATTTTTGAGTCGCCCGTTAACACGTGCTTTCGTACCTAATGAATAGTTTCCTCAAATATTTATACAAGCTTGTATTTTCTAATGATGTTTTGTTACTGCCCCAGTCTGAGCATTATGTGAATGATTCAGTTTTTTCTGATATAGATGTAGCAACTTTATAATTAATGTGTGTAAACCACATATATGCAAGTGTGATATTTTCTTGCAGATAAGATGTGCAACATAATGCGGTATTGTTCACTGGATCCATTTACAGCTGATATTGGTAATTAATTCTAAATTTATTTATATGAATATGAAGGAATATAGTTTATTGGTTCCCCGTGGGGTTACAATTACACTTCCGCTCCTTAACCTAACTTTACATCTTCTCTTATTACTTAATCATAATCTTAAACTAACTTAATCTAATTCACCGTTACATTTTCTTTATCTTCCTTCCCCCCCCCTCTCTCTCTCTGTCCTCCTTTCCGACCTGTTTTTTTTTCGTCTTTTCCTTTTCGCAAATATTATCCTGCTTATCGTTTTCTCTCCTTATCTTACTTTTCTATTTTCCGCTTTTTCGCTTTTCCGCATTACTTATTCCTATTCGCTCGCTCTAGTTTCTCTCTCTCGTTTTGTGCCCTATCTGTACTTCCGTTCCACCTTTCACACCTTCTCCCTCTCTTCCTCTTTTTCTTCCTCTTACCCCCTGGATTTCTCAACCTCTCTCATCCCTAAATTCATTTATATATATAATATTTATAAAACCTTGTATTTACTATGATGTTAAGTTACTGCCCCAGTCTGAGTATTATGTGAATGATTCAGTTTTTCCTGAGATAGACCTTGTAATTTTATAATTAACGTGTATAAACCACATGTATGCAGGTATGATACTTTCTTGCAGGTAAAATGGAGCAACATTACAATGCGGTATCGTTCACTGGGTCCATTTGCAGCTGATATTGGTAATTAATTCTACATTCATTTATATACATAATATTTATAGAAGCTTATATTTACTACGATGTTAAGTTACTGCCCCAGTCTGAGTGTTATGTGAATGATTCAGTTTTTCCTGAGATAGATTTTGTAATTTTGAATTAACGCGTGTAAACCACATGTATGCAAGTGTGATACTTTCTTGCAGATAAGATGAGCAATATTATAATGCGATATTGTTCACCGGATTCATTCGCACTCGATATTGGTAATCAATTTTACATTCTTTATAGAGATATTATGTAGCAATTGAATATATGATGCATTTTAATATGACAACCCCAGTCAATCAGAAATATTATGTAGAGTGTGTATTCTGATCATTTTAAAATGCAACATTTCCGCCGTATATCTTGTACTTTTTCTATTAGCAAAGGTATTCGTAATTGCAGGAGAGATTGAGAATGGATAAATATTGTAACGCTTGAAAGTAATTTCAAGATATTTGAATTATAATACCGAACAGTATGGATAGATACTCTCGGGAAAAGAAACACTTGAAACTGAGAAGGTAACATTAACATCTTCATTATGCTTTAAATAGCATTGTAAAAATTGTTTATGATGAATTTTAGTTATCCCTGTCATACATGCACATATGGTGATAGTACTACACTGATATTGATTTCTGTCTGTAAAAATATATAACAAGTAATATTCCTTGTTATAATTAGAGGAAATTTTTATGTTACAGAAACTAGGACCGAGTAAAATAGTCATTTCTTTGATTGGTCTACAAGTGGCAAAGGTAAGCAATGCCTTTTTCTTTGATTACACCCATACCTCGCTTTACGGCCTAAGTACGTTCCGGAAAAGTTGGCCATAAAGTGAAAAGCCGTATAACGAATCAATTATTTTGATACAAACCCATACAAATTCAATTGGATCTGTTCCAATTTTTTTTATAAAATAATATAGTTTTTAGTTCATAAAGCATTTTATAAACAGAAGGTCGCTAACAGTACAGCATTTTTTTGGCCATATAACGAAACATTGTTGGCCGTAAATTGAAAAAGTACCATAATTAAAATAGGCCGTTATAGCCAAATGTATAAAGAGCGGTAGTATAGCAAGGTATGGGTGTAGTTGATTTTCCTTTGCAACTACAATAATGAATTTTATGATGATTTTATTATTGACAAGCATATGTCTGAGTAATTTGATGCAACTTTTTGTCTGATTACATTTCGAAACAGTATAAACTGTAGCATTCCTGTAGCACTAAGAGTTAATTCAGTGTTATGTTGTTACAGATGTTTTAAACACTTCCTCTATGATGTACGAGGTGCAGTAATTCTATGGCGAAATCAGGTGAGCAATTACACAATTGTAATAGGTTTAATATCTTGTTTATAAACTGTGATGTTAGACCAATATATGCTAAGATGATTTACCAGTGTGATATTCACTTGCCCTCGTTAAGTTGAAAGTTAAATATTTTGCATAGTCACGGAAATTACGGTAGTCTAATAGTATTTTATTTTTCTGTTTTCGCAGATTGTTTTTTTTTTAACAGTTTATTTTACCTTGCATCTACAATAATCAATTTTATGATGATTTATTTATTGACAAGCATATGTCTGAGTAATTTGATGCAACTTTTTGTCTGATGACATTTCGAAACAGTATAAACTGTAGCATTCCTGTAGCACTAAGAGTTAATTCAGTGTTATATTGTTACAGATGTTTTAAACAGTTCCTGTATGATGTACGAGTTACAGTAATTCTATGGCGAAGTCAGGTGAGCAATTACATAATTTTAATAGGTTTAATATCTTTAGAAACTATGATGTTACAACAATATACGCTAAGATGATTTACCATCGTGATATTCACTTGCCCTCACTGAGTTAAAAATCAGTAAAATATTTTGCATAGACACAGAAATTATGGTAGTCTAAAAGTATTTTATTTTTCTGTTTTTGCAGATATCGTGCAAGTTACACTGTACAGTAGTACAAATGGGAATATATGGAATGAAAAGGTAGAGAATGTATTTAAAATATACTTTATACTTTTTACAGAACGGCGAGTAACCAAAGAGCAGAAAATAATAAGCTTTTTATCTTTAATGATGTTTCACAATATACGCTATGAAGTTTTTAATGATAATCAACGTTGTATCTGAAATGATAACGTTATTTTAATATAATGCTGTTGTATATTTATGAAGTATAAGGTTTGCTAATTTTGGTTTCAGATATGCGTAAAAACTATACGGAATGAGTGATTGTTTAGGAAAAGTTAAATTTATTCGATAAAAGATTTATGGTACATTTCAAATGGTACTATAAAATGTAATAAACGTTACTAGACTAGACGTGTCATGTTCAGTGGGAAAAGTAATAATGCACAAAATGACGCTGATACAATAAATTGAAACTAATATTACGAGAAAATAAATATGAACAAAAGTTAACCATTGAAGATTTATTGCCACCTATAAAATAGTGTTACCCGTGAATAGTTGGAATAAACCTAAATACGATAGAGTATTAGGAACTAAACTCTCGATACGAGCGCGTGATTTGAAAAGTGTAGATGGCAGATAGTTTCGGTGTTTTAATTTGAAATATAAAGTTCATCGTGTGCCTGCAATTAAGATAATGACTGTGTTACCAACGTAATTGAGCATTAATACTTAATATACTTTCTTGCTTCTACACATTTTTTTCGCCCGTGAGTCGAGCTATTAATTAATTAATTACGCAAAGTAAATACACATAGAAGTCGAAGTATGCTACAAATATAACATATAAAATTTATTAAAAATTCAGCAAATACATCTACCTTCAACGAAATAATCCAAATATAGAATTCGCCCAAAGATTGTTTGACCATCTTCAATGATTTGATCATTTTTACCGTTTTCCATAGAGTGTTGAGGTTGCGTGAGTATTTTATTAAATTTGTTTAAATGTACAATTACTGAATTAAATAACATCAGTTTCTTTCGTTTATGTACATTGAACAAAATCTGTACAATCTTAGAGTAATCTTCTGATTTTTGGCATGAAGGCCGGTTACATGGAAACTATCCACTAACGAGATTCTGTAATTGTGCCAATGTTTTAAAAACAATGCTTCTCCTTATACACCACGTGTAAGTAAAACTATCTGTGTAAAGTGCATACGTGTACAGGTTTGTAAAGAGCGAAAATATCCCTGTATGCATTCCTCCAAACTTAACCCCTTGCCCTATGATTTTTTTGACGCTTGCAGCCTCCCGGATTACATTGTTATCGATAGTTTCCTAGAAACTAAAGGAACTCTGTACTCATCGTAACCGTACTTTTACTGTTAAAGATAAATATTAACCCTGTACACTCGACTGTCGTCTCTGAGGCGACAAAATGAATGGAAAATTAGAAATTCCGAGTGCAAAGGGTTAATATCAACAACGTGGTACAGTGAATTCGCAATGAGTGTTCCAAGGCTCGTCGGCACTGAATATTAAATATTTCGTAAACTAATAGTCACATGCGACTGAAACAAATATTATTGACTTCAGAATTCCAACATCTATCGCTAGGCTAACTGTCATTAAAAACTAAACGTCACATCTGCGGACCTCTCCTTGTCACTGCCGAAGACCCTTTGGAACACTAATCGAGGATTTACTGTACTTGACTTCGACTCTAAGGAAACCGAATAATATTCTTCTTTGTTGAATCGATTGTCAAATCCTCGACACGAGTCAGACTCGATGATACAGGGCAAGAGGTTAGACAATAAAAAAAAAAAGGTACTCTGTTACGTAGTAAAATAATTCTACATGTCATGCTGTTTTGCTTAGTAAGTTTCCTGGTGAAAAATAATGTTCTATTCAAACGTTCGCGAGATCTAACGCCACTGCTCGGTGAGAAATCCTATTTTGCGTGTCAGAATTACAATGTATACTGGGAATCACCGTCGAGCTTCGTAATCTAAAAAAAAAAAAAAAACCCAGTCCCGTGTGTTTAGATTCGTGTGTAATGCTTGCGCTGATATGGATGGTTCCTTGTTGCACGCCAGGGTCTTAGGAACTTTCCTCTGTGCCTAACACTCTGGTCTAAAAAATCCTAGATCGTATATCTTTCGTCGTTATGCAACAAGCTTGAAGAGCACTTGCGCGTCCTTTTAAATTCTTTTAAGGAACAGATTCACCATTGGTCTTACGAGGTCGAGTGTTTATTATCTCGACGATCTTGGGGGGATCGCCGATGAGATTAACCGGTTCGAGTTCATAAGTGCTTGTCACGACGGCACAAGCTATCTCAGCACTTTCTTTTTCGTCTCGTTTTTCAATGTGAATTACGGCACTTGTGATAAATTCCCGGCATCTGTGCAAAGACAAGCTAACACCGTCTCTACACAGTGCAATATTTATGATGCGACTACTTGTAAATCCCGCGTCACGGCGTATGGTCACAATTGCAGATGGTATTCGGTGAGGGGATCGAATTCCTTTTGGTGGGTGGAATTCAACGCCATAACGTATCCCCATAGTCGCATTGCAGCAGCGCATACCCTTTGTATCTCGTCCACTTCCTCGAAGTCGAGATCGGCCCGCCAGTGAAACGGCGCGACTTTTGAATTACGGAAGGTGCTCGACACACCGCCGACGTCATTCTTTGTATGAGTATCCAAAAATCTTTTTACATTTATATGAAAGTCCAAACCGTAAAAATTGTATAGGTTCTTCACGTGTCTGTACGGATCTACGGATAAGTCTTCGTAACGTACTACCCTGTTGAGCATAGAAATACATATTATTTGTATACGGTTGAAAGTAGGTTATGTTACATCACAGATGGCGTATCATTACTTTAACATTTTAAAAAGAAGAATCCTGATGAAATTTTCTTAAAATTATAAGAACAGCGAAGACCTTATTATTTTCACCGCATTAGTCTGAAACATAATCGAAATTGAACGAGTTCCGAACGTCAAAACTTTTACAATGATCTATGAATTTGTTAATAAATAAGACAAACACAGGCCATTTATCTAACAAGTAGAATTCACGCGGGCCGCACAATATATATTTATATTATTTAGTTATTTCAATTTTTGAAATTCCCGTTATATATTATATACAAAAAAATATTAAAATTGCGTACATTTTGACAATGTTTTCAATTCGTACAAAATATAAGTCGTTGCGGTTGACCAGTTTGACACCCCTTATCTAACCTACACCTTTGCTGTCACTGAAAAGAGAATGGGCGCACATGTCTATATATAGCGTTGCAACGAGAAACGTGTCAATCGATTTTATATGTATAAACTCTCTCTAGCACAGTATCAATTATAAAAGAATACTTTACCTGAAAGTACGTGGATACTTTTTTATTAATCGTACTGCTGCGCTGAAATCCGACACCATGTCAGCGCATACTAATGCCGGATCCGAGCAATCTGGATTAGTGGGACACCATTCCCGGTGCTTTCTAGATTGCAAGATTCCACGGGGATCTCGAATCAATAAAACTAATCGTATTCCTAAACTGTAACACGAGGTTTATTATATATTTCTCTGCCGAAAAACAAAAACTAAAACCGAAAAAATTTGTTTACAAAAATATTCTTACTCTTCTTGGTCTAAAAGTTTCTCCGCTGCACGCAGCCTCAAACGAACGATTTTCATGGATTGAAATGGAAATAATTTACAAAATCTGGAAACGAAGCGTGGATCCCAACAAATTTTCTTGTGTGCCTGACATTGCCTCCATAAATGTGTATTATGATTGAAAACCCACGGATGCGTTTTACCATATTCTAAATATCGATCTGAGAGAATTAATAATGGGAAATTAATTAACTTTCATGACGCGTTTGATAATTGTACGAAACAAAATTTACCAAGATTATTAAAATCACATCTTAATAAAGATTCGAGGTTTCCAAGAGCTTCGTCCGCGAGTGGGGGTCCCCGAATTTGCACAATCCCAAAGTCTAACAGGGGCTCGTAGTGGTAAAAATTTGCTGGATGTGCGTTTATGACGTCGCCAAGAAACGTGCTTCCACTTCGCCAGCTTGTCAAAATCACGCTCCTCATTGGTCTTCCACCTTTCTCCATTACTAAATCCTCCAACTTGCTATATTATATATAATTATTACAAATATATCAAACAGAAATGTTTCAACAAGTGACATTGGTAAAACATACCTAACATTGACGCTATATTTTCCATTCGGGTACCTGTAGTCCTCCATTTCTCTCTGGATCGCTTTTCTTTGTTGGTCCACAACCTCTTGGATTTCAGAGAGCGTGACATTTTCTGTGGATGCCCTAAAATACGCCTGTGAACGATGCACAGAATTTGTGTTAAGAAATTCTATTATCTTTGAGAGCGAAAATTTCGATGAGAAAAGCAGAAGCAGAGCAGTATAGTATGAACTTTTTACAGTGCTTATTTCTATAGCCGTATTAAATGCATTATGAGTTAATTGCTTTGTTACAGACGAAGGGTTTCAACACACGACAGATATTCACTTACCCACTTTATATATGTATTTTTTTGAGATTAGAATTTAATGGGATAGATATGCTACGTGCAGTACCAAGTCGTCTACTTTTTTCTATGCTAAATTATTTACTGATGCTGTTCATTCATGGTATTGGTTTAGAATGATAAAACACACATGGATCTATGTGTATATATACACGTATTGCTTACCGTTACTGGTTCTTGAATTTTGACAAGGCGGGGTCTTATCTCAACATCCTATATTGAAGAAAATATCGGTAATTTAGTGATTGAAATGTGCGATTTGCATTGTGAACACAATAATGTTGTCGACTTAACCAGGACAATATCTTTCTCCCTCTTTCTCTGTGCAGGTAGTGAATTAGTGTCTGAAAACGTGCGATGGTGCAAATAAAAGTATGTACGTACTACTCTTGGGTGTTTTATAGAAAATGAAACATGAAAAGATTTTGACTTAAGCTAACATGCAACTCTTAATAGTGAAATAAAACCTGTTTCAAAGCTTTGTTATTTATACATGTCTTGGATATTGCCACTTTTGGCACAAATGAAGGTAGTTAAATTTGCACAATTCGTAGTCATGATGTTTACAGACTAGTTAATTTTTTTGCATGTTAGGCAAGCTTCCTCGACTTAATAATCATTTACCCATGTGACTTTAAGCGGATTACTTCCAAGGATCTCTGACAACAGTTGTCCTTAGGCGCTGCATGAAACATAAAATGGCAAAGGAGAAGATGTGGAAACAGGGAGAAAGAGAACTGGCGACTCTTTGTGTGGCTCAAAATATTCATTGTTAGCGTACAAGTGGAAAAAAGTTAGGTGCAAAAGTTAGACTTTACCATCAGAAAGAGCGTGTTTGGCGTGACTCAATTTAGAGCAATCCCCACCTCCGATTTATTACTGACCGATATTACCGGCTGCAGTCGATGCTCGAGATAGCTGCTGTAGCGTTGATTAAATGCTAAGAAGAAGATGCAGAGGGACGCCAGGCCTATAAGAGCATAGAAGCTGACTCGTTTTGACATCCTTGGTCCTGCGGTAGACATACAAAGGATGCATTCAGAGATCATCTTGTGTGTACAGTCTCTAAGACGACTGACCCCTATAACATCAGGATTTCTCTTCACATTCTCTAATCACTCCAAAAAATTTGTGACAACGGGTGGAAATTCCCCATTCTCTCACAATACCATTGGTACATAATTTTTGGTGAAATATTGTACACCGTGTCACAGAATAAAACAACGATCGTTTCAATGATTTCTCGGACAGCAAAACGTATGCATGTGTGGACACTGAACGAAGATCGACTCGAAGTACGGATGGACTTTAGCTTACCTCAAGATCGAGCAGTCGCATTTGGAGGTTTCGAGTGAATGATACAACGGTTCGTTTCCGTAGACGAAGAAACCCTCACGTTTTCCTCGACATTTTGATGTGGCGACAGGGAACACAGAAGCTACGTTCACCGTTCATCGTGATCCACTGACGCAGGGATACCCGTACTGCGGCGGCTAACCACACGACGATGACCACTCGTGTGCCGTCTCTTCATGTGTGTGAGTGCATTGGTTCCATCGCGTGTATAGCAGGCATGGGCACGACCGATATGCAACGCTGAAATATACACACTCGAGGAATAGCCGCACGCCAGCCTACGCTGGTAGCCGTTGCGATTGCGCCACGGAGAATGTCGGAGGCGGCCAGTATCGAAAACTGTCCGAACGACGACCTCGTATTTCGTCGGCAAACGATTTTGTCCCACGAAGATTCATGATTATTTTATCGTATTCGCAACGCTTATTCGGTCCGTTGTCCGATTTTTCGAACGCAACGTGTGCGAAACGATGGTGGGCAACACCAAGCTTGTTAAATCACAAGTCACGTTGTTACATCGAGCTCGCCTCGAACAGAGTCCAAGCCCAAACGGATTTTAATTATCAGCGTAATAGGAAGCAGAAGTTCCTCGCTGAATATGATATCACGCAGAGCCACGCACTAACTTGTTTCCGGTGTAACTATTTACGCGTCTACATCAGCAATGTCACTTCGTCATTTTGACGGCTGCGGAATTATCACGTGTTTCTCACGGCATCGTGGGTTGAATGGTTGATACCGCGATAACGCAATTGATATGAAAATTAATTATGAAAAAGTAGTATCCAATTATTATTCAATGCATCCTCACAGAAACGTGATTGGTTAAAATCTACAGGATACTAGAAAGAAGATGATACATTGTACTCAGTCTTTTTATTTGCAATTATAACAACACAATTAATAAGAACAATGTGTTGGAATCAGAAAAATATTTGGTCCCGCGAAAAAATACCAAAACGTCGATTACCGACCGATGGTAAAACAGGTTCAATAATCTTCCACGGCGTTATGAAACTCCGCCACCAGGTGTCGCCACGGTTCGCTCAACGGCCGAAATATTCAAAACCGACAGCTGCACCGGAAAAAGAACCTTCCCTCTCGCGAAGATTGCTAATTGTCCTGATTAGCGGGGACACGTGGACCATGGAAGGGTTTTCGCTATTCTAAACGGCGAAAGTCACGTCATCGTGGGAACATGTGTCGAAGCGGGCAACATTATTCGGTAGCCCCCTCGTGGTGGGGTTACAGAGGGGTCGGCGGCGCCGCAGCATGCGTTGCCCATGGCGTTTGATGGGCCGCCCAGCAAGAGCAGACTCAGTCGGATGCTGTTGCTCGAGCGGCACGGTTGTCGGTGCGCGTCGTGAGCCTCCGGGGGGATATACATATTTCATCGCTAAACTCTCTCGTCCCTTTCTCTTCGGGCACGATGTCACGCACTTAGCTGCACAGAACATTTATTTTTTTCTCTTCAAAATCGCATCGCCCAGCAACGAACCACCGTGGACAGTCTTGCGCGTATGACCACCTGACTACCCACTTCTACATGCTTTCCGTGTCTCTCTCCCTCACACGGGGTGAGCTGAAAACTCGTCAGCTTTGCGGGGTATATTCTCGAAGAGGCGGAGAGACCTCGTGATCAGCGAGCCCTACGCGGATACAGTAAAACTCGTGCAACGAGGAACAACGTTGTCCGTTGCTGCCCTCCCGGCGTGTGGGACTCTCGAGTGCGTGCGTGTGTGTGTGTGTACGTTGGTCACGACGATGCACGTATTCCTCGGTAATTGTGACTGGATGTGACAATTCCATGGGTGCGACGAGTGTCTAGTGTACGGGGGCTGTGCGGTGCAAAGGAAGAGCTCGATTGTTTTGGGGTAGAAAGGAAAAAAGGATAGTGTGCGACACATTTTCGCCGGATCACTGAACCGTCGGGATGTCACGCTGAAGGGACACACACACGGTGAGTACATATAGTCTATTATTTTTATTTGTTTTTTTTGTACACCCCTCTTTCTTTCTCTGGCGTTGTTTCTGTTGTCCCGTTCCTTTTCTGGAATTTTAACGGCGCACTAGACTCTGAACTGGTCCGACCGCTTTTTTTTTCCACGTCAAGAGACACACGGAACGTGTTTTGATGTGATCGTCCGAGAGAGAGAGAGAGGCAGGCCTTTGTTTATGCCGGTCGAAATAAGGGTACCTATTCGAGGTGGACGCGACGGACCGAACTGCCGGCCTACATACCGGGGTGGAGTGTGTATGTGTTTACCAATTTCTGCCCCCTGCATGGGACGTTTTTTTTTCTTTTATGCTGGAATGTCGCTGCTGTGAAGTCCGGCGTGCACTCGCTGCGTTTGCGGAAAGTTTCGGGGGTAACTTCTTTATTGTGTTAAATGTGATAGAAGCTGTTGATTTAAAAAATTGGTATTTAATTTGTATTATTGTGCTGGTATATCTGAGTGCTGACAGGGAAAGGCATAATCGAAGAACACTTGTGGAGAACCAGTCCCACTTGCCTTTCCCTTTTCGTTAGATATTTCGATTTTCTCAACTCTAAACAGAATGTTATTAATATGATTAGAAATTGATTGGTATTTAGTAACAGTGGAGACTATCTTTTGAATCGTCGGTGAGATCCGTCAAGTTGATTGAAATGGCACGTCGCGAAATCGATCCCGGCGACATCTCCTGTAATTCGAACCTACTCTGTTTCTGTAAATGTATACACCACGATTACGTTTAACCTCTACTATGTCACTCAGGGCTGTTCATGGGTACACAGGGTTGTGGGTCACGCAATAGTGACAGGTGAAATCGTACTCTGTGGTTGGAATTAGGTGAAAATTTGTATAGAAAATAGTTGAATTTTCGTTAAACCTGCAATTTCATTCGGTCCGTTTTAAATGTACGAAAACGTCCAGTATCCGCACTCGTCCAGTATGCGAAAGAGTCGTTGGTCGATTCTAAAAATAAATCCTCGGGCGAAAGAGTCGGCTGTGCGGAGACCCCACGTCGAAAACCGGCGAGAGGTTCAGTTACATCACATCATATGCCTCTTTTGCTTTTCCCCGTTTTGTCCTCCACTAGCGAGCATTCGTGCACAATTAACCCTTGCGTAGGCAATCAAAATATTCACAATCATTGAGCAAGCGGAATACTATTATTCCGACAGATTAGATAAACAATAGATAATTTTACTTTCATACTTTTCCGAAATTCTTAGTTTTCCCTTTCTGTAATATACCAAGTGCTGTTTTAGAGGAGAACATAAAAAATTGTGAAAGGAAATTTAGAAATGAGTACGTGGGTATCTGGTTGCTTACACAAGGGTTAATTTTTTTCTAACGGTCAGAATTATGGCCAACTCGAACGCACGTGATTCACGGGGGGGGGGGGACAGAGTTTGGCACAATTTTATTCGTGAAAAACGGCAGTATCTGGGTCGTCATCCTGACCTTTAAACAGTTAATGAAATTAAATAATTGTTTGCCAAGTATCTATTCATTCGAGAAGAAAGTATTATGTTATTGTAAAAATTGAAATTTTCACGGTTATGCTATTAAAAATGGCGATTTTGATCATTTATTCGTTATTCGACATTTTTTATTTAGATAACGAATTTGCCCATCTCTGACGGGGGGTAATCGTCCCCAAGCAGACACGGCGCCATAAGTCCAGGCCCTCGAAAAAAGGGGGGTGGGGGACATTAGTGAATGAACCCACGGAAAAATTGCTCTCGGCGCGTGGCTCGCGTGTCGTGCGTTGTGTGTCCACTTTGTCGAATACGATGCCTCCCGAGGAGAAGAGGGGGAAAACTAGGAGGGGGGGGGGAGGAGAGAATTAGAATCAATAGAGGGCACACGCTCTCGCCCCCGTCGATCTATTTGCGTTTTTTCGCGATCGTCCCCTCACGCAATTACATTTTGTACCTTCGATAACGGGCCAGTAACCTTCAGTTTCGAAAAGTTATAAAAATTCACACGAATAACAAACTTTTTATCGATAAAAAACTTTATGACTATAGGTTCATGAAGAATTTTTGAATATGTTATGAAGGAAAATATGCTTTTTGACGAGAAAGTTTTCCTGTAAGCAGCTCGATGCATGGGTCACTTTTGACCCGTAACGGAATTTTTGTTAGGTGCACTTCGGAATGAGTTTTTTTTTAAAAAAAAGATGCTTGTAATATAAACTACAACCAGTCGACTGGAAACTAGGTCGTAGCCCGGGTCACTTTTGACCCGTAATGAAATTTTCATCACGTGTACCTTGGAACGAATTTGTTAAAATTCTTGTGATATCACTACGAACAATCGATTGCAAACAAGAATTGGAAACTGGACCGATGTCCGGGTCACTTTTGACCCGTAACGGAATTTTTGTTACATGTACGTTCGAATGAGTTTTTGTAGATACTTGTGATATCACTTATGAATAGTCGGCTATAAACAGCGATTGGAAACTAGACCGATGTCCGGGTCATTTTTGACCCGTAACACAATTTTCGTTGCGTGTACTTTGGAACAAAGTTTTCTTAGACGCTTATGATATATCAAAAAGGACAATGCATTGACACATATTTGAGTTCTTTAAATGCACGCTATCCTTCTGTTTATACAAACTGCAGAGATAAAACACTATTTTCGTTTTGCCGCGTGCCGT